ATCATAGCCTCTTATTGCTTGTTACCATATTTCGAGGCCTGTTCCTATTTAGTATCTCGCCTTTTATTATTATCATTGCCTGGATTAGAGATATTTATTTGTAACTCACTTTTACCTCTCTCTCTCTCTCTCTCTATATATATATATATATATATATATATATATAACTTTAAAAATTTTATAGTTCATCGTATGTATATAATGATAATAATGATAGTGTTTAGCATTTTTTGTAAACTTTACTGAATTTCGAATCTAGATTTCTTAAAATTCATTTTTGAGCCGCTATAGTTACAGTTATACATAAAAAACAAAGTTTCTCTACCTTTGGTAGTGAAGAAGCAAAATAAATTAATTTAAAAAAATCTATAACGATCTTAATATTTCATAATTTTCCGATTTGACCCAACTACCTATGCTTCTATAATTATCTTCAGAACCATCCGATCCCTCTCGTTTCTAATCTAGCTTCTTCTGCGATCCCTGATAACCGTCTGAGGCATCTGGAAAGAAGATGCCCTCGTGATCTCCTAATGTAAATATTTGTAATTTGCAAATATTTTTAGAGTGCTACTAACAGATAGTTTCTGAATAAGTGTTTTCATTTCATTTATTGCAGTGTTCACATTTAATTGACGTATTTTTATTTTAATATTAATAGTAGTAAATATGAATAAATTAAAAAAAAAAATGCCTTTGGGAAATTTTGTAAAAAGTCTCAGTTTTAGGATGGATTGATTGAATTTAAATCTTTCATTTAAAAAAATAATAATATACTAAAGTAAGTTCAAGATATAGAAAGTAAGACTCTTTGATGTATCATAATGTGACTAAGTTATTATAATGTTCTAAAGAATAAGTGCCGATGTCTGATTTTTAAGGAACATAGATTAATTAAGTGATTGGCAAGTGATAGCCAAAATTTTTTTAAATCACGTTTTTGGATATAAAAGTTTTCCTTGGAGCCCATGTCCACATTTTTGTTTTTTATAGATTTGGAATGGCAGATAAGGTTTATTTCACCTTAAATGGCCCTATCTTTTTAGGAGCATTTTTTTTTTAGTTTTTGGATCTAGTTTGTTTTAGATCTATGGTGTAATAGGAAATGTGTTTAATTTAAAAATAAAATAATAATCATCGATTCATAAAGATGTTTTGTCATCCCAAGACATGGTCCGCTACCGGCCAAAACTTCTATATTGTATTCTTGACCAAATTTAAATCCTAATGTACCTACCACGTGAGGTCATTATTTAGTGTTTTGTACTGGAGATTCAAAACATTCGAAAATTATACAATTTATTGAACCAGAAAAAAAAATGTTGCCATAATTACGAGGCCTAGAGCTTTGTAGTAAACTGCCCAACCTGATTTTTACAATCCCGCTTTTTGACCTGCCTTCCCCTCAGCAATATACAACTGTATATCGCCTCCGCAGCTGCGATCGGGATAATTACAGAGGAGCAAGCTTGTAATTAACAATGTTTATTACAATTAACATGCGCGCTCCCGAAAATATCGGTATTTGGAGGGGAGAGGGAGGAGAGTGATTAGGGACTGACCAATGATATCGGAGCAGGCAGAGATGCTCTAATTATCGGCTTGAGCCGAGGAGGAAGGAAGGTAACCAATAATTCCTGGCGGGCCTCTTTAATTGGCGGTTGTGGACAAGGGGCCGTTCTTCCTCCAGCGGTCGCTATAAAATTACTGTTGTTGGCTAATAGAGTAATAGCCGCTCTACTCCAGATTACTGGTCTACTAGTAGATTACTGGTCTTCTTCTATATGTCACATCGGGGGGAGGAGGTGGTGGGAATAATTGCTCTGCTGTTCTACGTCTTCAGGGTTCGAAGGGTATCCAGGTAGGTATTGGAGGAAGAATGTTGGCAGATGCTTCTGACATTGATCGTCAAAATCATTTGTCGAATCAGCGAAATATCTGCTTTGCCACGATATTTGGTTTTAGAGGCAATTTCTTTGTTAAACTGTTTAGTTAAGCGTCTTGTTGTTACTTAATTAGGCCACTCCTAAACTATCCTGCGAAAAACGCTCTCGATCTTAATGAACTATTTATTTCCACATGTCGACCACTACTAATTTTCCCATCCATACCATACCTGCTATGAGCAAATATATTATGGTAAAAACTAGCTTAAATTTATACTACAATAGAATCCAAGTGATAAACGACCTAAATAATACTAAAATTGATTATTTTAGATAATAATAAAAGCTCATATTAAACTTAAAAAAATTGAGATAACATTGCGACTGGAAGTTGTGGTGAGGACTGGGGATGTGGCCTGAGTCCATCTTTCAAATCTTCTTTCTTGGATGCTGGTTAGTGTCGTGGCCTCGTAGCCGTATAATGGGTAATTGTTTTCATTATAGTATTGTACGCTCTTAATTTGAAATTTCTAGATATTTTGTGGAATTCGAATACCTTTAAAAGAGATAAGAAATCTTTTAGCGCTTGCTATATTCCTGCCATGGTTTATTTATTGGTTATATTTATATTATAATAAGTATATTTTCAATAATATACATCAGTAGAATATAATGATGCAAAGAGTAGCTATGGCAATGATTGAAGGGAGAACGGTGCTCTGCGCTCTGCCGGGGGCGTGTGTTTGTGCCCTGCCGGGAGATGGATCGCTTCCGAGCCGCCTTCGCTCCGTATGTTTGTCCCGGCGCTATGTCTCTGTCCATTTGTATACTGTCTCTCTCTCATCTCTCTGTCCAAATCTATCTTGTTATTGTTATTACCAGTGTTATCATTATTATTATATCATGGACAAACATGATGATGATGAAATAATGCGATATAAGGGGAAAAAAAAAAAGGAAATGGCGAATTATATTATATACTCAATAGTATACTATAGTGTATTATATACTAGAGTATACTCAAGTGAACATTCATAGATTAGGTTGCTATTATTTTCCATAGTACATTGGCATATAAGTCACTGCAGCGAAATATGTATTCATAATATTGTATTTAACTCAGAAAAATTTGAATTTAAGTAACACTTACTTTTTAAGTAAGCTTGCCCCATTGTAAAATATTTCTCCAGATTAATAGTTATTCAATTTGAACTTACACTACTCTATGTTGGTATTCACTGAAGAAACTTTTAGTTTGTTGCATTATATCTTTGGTTTGTAGTTATTTCATTTATTAAGAGTGTAGAAGTATGTATCATCATCATCATAATCCATCCTCTTGAATTGCATTAAGCAGTGTGAGGAGGAAGTCTATAGAGCCTTCTCCAGCTCTGCCAGTCTTCCACAAGACGCCTTCTATCATTCCATTGAAGACCTCTTCTCTGGAAGTCGCTCTTCGTCTCATCTTCACAATTATTCTCTACTTTAGCTCGATAAGCTTCGCTAGCCTATCCTATTCGGTTCCATTCGCAGAAGATGTCCTAGCCATCTCAGTCGATTCTCTTCTATCACATCATTGGCCGGCTTGATATTGAGGTTCGATCTGATGGTGGTGTTGCCTACTCTGTCTCTTCTTGTTTTTCTCGTCACTCTTTCGGATGAATCTCATTTCTGACGCTTGTATCATTTATTGATGTTTCTTTGTCAGCGCTCATAATTCTGAAGAGTACCTTCAAATGGGAAGACAAGTTGATCTGAAAACAGCCACCTTTGTTTTCTTTTCCACCTCTCGCCTGTTTAGTTAAAACCTCTCTTAACTGCTTCAAACATCCTGCCCGCAGCAGCGATTCGCTCATATACTTCGTAGAAGTATATATATTATTGAGAATATAGAAGTCTGCTGGATATTTTTTTTATTGATTAAAAGTATCAATAAGTATTATCTGAATCGTCCAAGGGATCTTCATACAGCTATTCTCCTCCATTTACCTTATCGATACATTTTTAGTTCGTCGAAAACTTGACATAATAATAAATATTTTTATTATTAATATTTTGGATGGTTGTCTAAACAGGTCATAAGTATCCCACATATCACCTTAATACTCCTTGTTACAAGATCCCTTTTTATCAAATTATTGACATCCGCCTGAAACTTCGTAAATACCTTCATCTCATCGTAATCTACAAATATTTTATTTACGAAACTTCCAGAAATTTGGGCGTTTTTGATCTGAAGATCGGGAAACTTTGTCTATTTAATTAGGCACTAAAAACTCGTAAATATCTATTTAATTTCCACTTGGATCGTAATATAATTTGTTCACATAATCGAGGAAAAGTCTATAAAAATATTGGTCTGTTTGGCCTATATTACCTAGTTATTTTGACTTATTGGGGGTGTAGGTCACGCCAAACGGTTCAATATTTTTGAAGGCCACCATTTTTATCGACTGTGTGCTCAAATTATCTTAAGATTCAAGTGGAAAGCAAGTGGGTTTTCACGAGTTTTTATTACCTAATTAAATAAACAATGTTTGCCGATCTCCAGATCGAAAAAGCCTGAATTCCTAGTATTTTTGTAAATAAAATATGTGTAAGTTGCGATGCGATGAAGGTATTTGAGATGAGTTTCAGGCTGATGTTAATAATTAAATAAAAAGCGGTCAGTACCACGTTCGCAAGAAATACTATTTTCGAGGGTTTAAATTGCAAGGCTTTTTCGATATCAAGTATTGTCTAAATCTTTAAAACACAACGTATCCCATCTCGATTCGTTGACTTTTGAAACCATCTTTAGTAACCTTAGAATTAGGTGGCCTACAGAATTATTGGGCCGTTTGGCCTATATAATCTTGTTATTTTGACAATTGTAGGTCACCCCAAATGGCCCAATATATTTGTAGATTGCTATGAGATGAAGCTATTTACAAAATTTGATAAAATGGTGTCTGTACCGCAGACTATATAACAAATCTTTATTTTCTTCTTTAAAAATTCTGACCCGCTGGCCAAACAATTTGGATATCCTGGTATTAAATTATAATTTTTTTTTTTAATGTACTTTTTTATTATGATTTCTTGTCTTTTTTTACATATGTTATTCACTTGCAGGCGTGTAACGAGTTCACGACGCACGTGATGAACTTGCTGCGGGAGCAGTCGCGGACGAGACCGATCACGCCGAAAGAGATCGAGAGGATGGTGCAGATCATCCACAAGAAGTTCTCCTCCATCCAGATGCAGCTGAAGCAGAGCACCTGTGAGGCGGTTATGATTCTCAGGTCCAGGTTCCTCGACGCCAGGTTTGTCTTTCCCTATCTAATCCCTTATCACCGTTATACCATTATAAGCATGTTTATAAAATTATATATCGGGGCAAGGAGGAGTAGAGGTTTGTTTGTGTGCCTGGTTGTGAAGGTGGATAGGGCATCAATTGGGTAGTTGAGTATCATAACGTCTATTGTCCAAGCAACAAAAGCTTTGTATTATGTTGAATCATTACAAACAATATGAACTACCGCCATTTTTTTTCCTTTGCTTCTCAAATCAAAATAAAATTTCTGCGCCTATGTCCATACCTCTATGATCAAATATAGTTTGGGAAAAAAAAACTGGCATAAATTCAGAATCCAAGTGATAAAAAACTTAAATAATATTAAAATTCATTATTTTAAATAATAAGAAAAGATCATATTTAACTATGAAATTGATATTACATTGCGTCCGGAATTTATGGTGAGGACTGGGGATATGGCCTGAGTCTACCTTTTAAATCTTCTTTATAAGTCTCGCAGCTGTATGAAGGAGTACAGGATTGCAGATATCTGACTGAGTATTCACGCCTTACAAGAGTTCCCTTTTAATATCTCGCCAGAACCGAGGGTTCATCATCCATAAAAAAATTAAAAACAACTAGCTCGTCCGCAACTAGCCAATTTTGAACCCATGTATTGGTCATCCCAAGTTTACAACGTATTTATTTATTTTTTTTATGATTTTAAAGTTCAATTTTTAATACTTCTGAGAAAATTTAAACGAAAAATTATTAGTTCTTAATAAATCTGTATGTAAGAGAAAACATTTATTAAATAAATTTTGAAAAAGAAGGACATGGGACGTTTTGAAATTCTCCTACTTAATTATTAATGCTCCACATGATTTCTTCAGAAACATATAATTTAAATAGATGGTTTATAGAAAATATTTCAATGCATTTTTTTATTTATGCATGTAAATAAATATTATGCATGACCGTAGTTAAGATTTTAGTTGGAATGCTAGATTTTTGTATAGGATTTATGAAAATAAAATTAAGATTTCTGAACGGTTAAATGTTTTTTTTTTTCGAACTTTTTGTAATATGAAATTATTAACATTATTAAAATATATTACTATTGGAATGCAATATTGATGGGGGTTAAGTCAAAAACCTAATCTTTGAGATATTGAACGGTTCAGGGGGTTTCTGTAAAAGACATTTGTTGATCAGGAATGAAATCTTACCTTTTTTCCGTTAAAAATTGCCAGTCGTTATGCATATCTATTTAGTGTATCCGTACATATCCAATCCACCCATCAAATGATTGAAATCAGCAATTAATTTTTTTTTTTTTTTTTTTTATATTTGTTTATTTAGAAATATTACATTCTGTCACATCAAGGACATTTATAATAGTGTTCAGAGAAAGCACACTCACACTCTATTTACAATAAAAAAAAAAAATAATACAGAAACTTAATAATAATAAATACAATAAAATAAAATAAAAATAAATACAATAAAATAAAATAAGCAATTAATTAAATATTTATTACGATAATAACATTTGTATCTATCATCTCCTTTATGGTCTCAAAAAATTAATTAATATAAAAATCCAACAGTATTCGTTGTTTTTGATTAGAATATATGTGCCTCGGAGGTAAAGGACATCATGTCCATTTTTTTATTTAATAATCTATTAACAATTAATTATTGCTTAAAGTTATGGAAAAATGGCTTCTCTGAACATAACTTGTATTACAGTACTTCATCCTGTTGATTTTTATATATTCTGTAATTTTATTATTATTTTGTGCCAAAGGATATTATTGATACTCCCGCAATATCCATCCGATCTCCAATATGTGGACCCTAATACCTATAGCGCCGGAGTTAGATATATCTATATATATATATATAAAGAGAGAGCCGATATGAGACATGGTAAGAAAAATACTTGAGTGAGTGAGTGAGTATTGACTGAGGGACAATATTTGGCCGCCCGACAGCGAGGCCAAACAGTTCTCTCTACTGTTTGCTCTCTTAGCCTCGCTCTTCGGGGTTAGGTTACTTCTGTCCCTTCGCTGGTGTAGGGGCGCCAATTATAATGTAGTAATCTATAGTAGCTTAGAAATTCGTGTGTGTGTATGTATGTGCAGATATCTGTTTAAAAAAAATAATAATAATAACAAACGTTGTACGTTGAAAACTAATATTACCCGTTACAATATTTAAAAATTAAATAGATCTGTTGAAAATGTACTGTTAATAAATATAAATAAAATATACAAAATTACGTTACACCATGGTTAAACTAAAAAAAAAATGGAGGGGCTTCACACAACTTTCACTTAACACTCCAGTTTGATTGGAAAAGTTGTTGATTGAGTTAATTTAAAAAGTGCATTTTTGTTAAAAATCTTGTTCGAATGTTGTTACTTGATCTGTATACTTTTATGTATTTGATAGGAATATAGATAAATAATTGGAAAACGAAAGGTTTGGAAGAACATCTTGTTAAATGAACTCTTTGAACGTCCAGAGGGAACATCAGGGTTCGAAAAACCAGTTAAAACAAAAAATAAATACGGCAAAGTTATTGATTATTGTATAAAAAATAGCACGATCCAAAATCCTTTAAAATATTATTATGAATACTTCTTTCTAATCAATGCATCCACAATTACTCGAATCCATTACAACTCATGAAGGATTTGGGTTCAGTACTTTGTAAGGGAGTACTGTTCTTCTAGCAGATAATAAGACTGCGATCACCTTCATTTAGTAAAATAATTCATACATACATCACATTTTACTGCCTTGCCCGTTTTCATTCCAATCTATTCGTTCTATTACTTTTCTCCTCCTGATTACCCTGTTGAACTATTTTTTTTTTTTTTTCGTTTGGTGCTTATAGACCATGTAGATCCTCGAACAGAGATATTTAATTGGAGGGAGCACTGATATCCTTGAGGGGGTCACCCAACCTCAGGTTCTCTTCCCGTGGATTCACTCAGGTTCAAGGACAGTGACAAATTAGTCTAGATCCATGACTTTTGGCTGCTCGGATTCAGAGAACCTAGATTACTTTCCCTGAAATAGATTAATGCTGGAACAAACTTCTTGGGGGAGCTATTGGCACACTAGAAAGCCACATCGCAATTTCCGATTAAAATAAAAGGGGTAGAAGTCGTCACTCCTTCGCGTGTGACATATGCTCGTAGATGGGATGATGCAGATTAATTTAAGTATTCCCTTTTTTATTTTTATTATTATACACTATTAATGGCTGTGGAATCCTGAAAGCGGGATTCGAACCCACAACCTTTGGATATGTTCGATAGTAAACTCAAACCGACCCATATACCTAAAATATATTAGCTCAGTAATCTTCTGTTTCTCTAACAACAACAAAATTAAAACCTATACTCGTTCTCAATTTCAGCCCAGACGATAACCAAGCGGTTAGGTTTAGCCACAGCGCCAATAATATCTAAGAAGAATACGATGATGCCGAGAGGGCAAGAAGGCGAGGGACTTGAAGGATAGTGGTAATGGGGGCGGTTAGCTGAGGTCTGGGAGCCCCCCCGCCGTTTTATTAAGGCCCTTGATAAATCCGGCTCAGCGGGGCCTCCTCGGCCATTCTTCTGTCTTTCTGCCTTATCGCCCTCCTCTCTCTTCTCTCCTCTCTTTATATATAGTACTATATATTATATAGTTCAATAAAATACTACTATATAAATGTCTATATCTATATCGTAAAGTAAAAGGGGGTTGGGTATCTACTCGCTTCGCAGGAGATTATGAAGTCTTGCAAATAGAGTTGAGGAAAAAAATATGTATACACCTTGCCAAAACAAATGTTTACCATGTCATGTAATCTATTATGTATCATACTTGGTTGTACCGTTAAATATTCTAATTTTTCAAAACATTGTTATTTCAAATCTCAGACGCTAGAACATAAATGCCTGCTTTGTTGACCCATTTACGAATGTCTATTTTCTTTATTCAGTAAGTTATTACGTTTTGGTTTGGTCTAATTCTTTACCTTCAGAGTTTCCAATTGCTATCACAATCTCTGAAATATTGGATTCGTGTTATTGGACGTGAGCTAGAATCGCCAGGATCGCCAAGTATGTCCTTTGAGGACGGCGAGAGATGTGAAGGACTTAATACGGTGGTTGGGATGCAGCGGATGTCCTGGAATGTGCAGAACGCAGTACCGCAAAGACCCGGGGTCTTTTAATCCTCTCGAGGAAGTATTTACGTCGCCTTGTATTAAAGCCATAATCGTACCATTTTGCTTTTTACGTTAATAAAAAAAAAGGAATAAATAATTTAAATTAAACGTTCATTAAAAAATAAACTGCTATTATTGCTTTAATGTGAACGGGCTTCTCGGTTTTCATTATTTCTTTTTTATCTGTGACGTTAAAATTAAAAATTACATCAGCCATTCGCCATGCGACCGTTAAAGGGTGAAGGTGTGCCAAGATTAATGGGGCTGATTTTACCCGCAGTACAGCTTCAAATTTCTATATTTGGTCCAATTTTTATATTAAACCATCTATATAATCAAAAAATTTGTTATGGTACATAAGATCCAGATACATAACTATGGTAAAAAAAAAATATATCAATTATTTTATATTTCATTTAAAAGTCAAATTAAAACAAAAAACTAATTTTGTTTACCGAATATATAGTCCCTAACTTAGTATGAATTAATAAACCCTTTCGCCAGAGTCCAGTTTACATATTGGTTCTCGGACAATGGCTAATGCTCAAAACAAAAATGTTTTAATAACAATGAAAATGTTAATACATAATGCAGAAAATTTGTTATTATAATTTTATTTCGTTATAGCCTTATATCTATATTAAAAGAATCTACTATACAAAATCGATATATTTTCCACAAAAAAAAAAATTAAATAAATAAAAATATTTATATATTTTTATTTAATAGACTTACAAATGAATCAGTTCTCAATTTGACATACCTTTTCTATATTGATAATATGGCATTCCATATCTACAGAAATATGTCTGCAACGCTTTTAAGAAAGTCTCTGATAACTTTAAGGTATTTGCCCCTGGCAGTTACTAAATAATTTAGAGAAATACACCTAACACTTAAGCTCTAGTTAACTAACGTGGGATGAAAATTTATTGAACCAGCAAGGCATTAAATTTAGTTATGGTTGTTTTAACTTAATGTTGGTTAACACAGAATGTTAACTTTAATGACAACGTGCCACCGATCCTTATTCTACTCTTGTAGCATTCTGCCTATACATTGTATTTTCTATAGAAACTTGGAAAGACCTAACATAAATTGAAAAAAAAAAAAAGTAGGTTAAAGAGAAGCTGAGAGAGATATTAATGCCGGAGGAGGTGCCGTGCTGCCTTTGTTGAGAAGCTGAGAGCTGAGAGCTAAAGATGGTCGGGTATCGGTCTCGAGCTTTCCAATCTGCCCCGCCTTTAGAGCGAGATCCAATCTTTTAAATTGTTCCCCTATCTACCTCTCGGCTCAGATGGATCTCGGAATTAAGCATTATCTTAAATGGCATTTTGGGAAAGGGTCAGGGGAGAGAGGACGGTAGGGAGTGAGGAGCGAGCCGGGAGGGAGGGCGATATCGATTCTCCCACCTCCTTCATTAACAATTTAGGGAGGAAGGATTAATTCCGATAATAGTCCTGTCCGAGATAATGAGTTGCTCGATCTTGTCAAAAAATTTATTTATTTATTTTTTCTTATTATTTTGTTATTTCTTAGTGTAATGATTACTACGTGTTATAATATATATAACATATCGTCGGTTTATTGTCAAAAGCCACTAAGTACATTTCAAATTAAGCTGAAGTTGTGAGAACGTTTTTGTGAATTTCTATTCTATTAATGGATGAAAAAAAAAAACAGTAAGCGTACTAAAATTATACAAATCCTTTAATAAATTAAGATGCGTTTAGACATTTCACAAACTTTGAAACACACAATTATCTAACTCAACTAACAGCGACATTATTATTAAACCAAACTATGTATAACGAGTGATAAATATTCAGGACGCAATCATTATAAAGTTTTTATTGACGCCAAAGTTTCAACCCAAACATGAGGGCCATCATAAGGCCGTTTCGAGCACTGAAGGTATTCGAGTATTCTATTGAATTCAAAGATCTTAACATTACAAAATGTCACTTGAGTTCTTTATTTTCGATTAAAAACATTATTTTAATTTAAAATCTGCTACAGTTTATTGAAACAGTTTTTTTTTTTTTTACAAGAACTGTATTGTTTAAAAATTAGTTATTGTTTGAAGAGTTAGACTTAGGATCAATAAATTTTAATTATGTTTAGGCCTTCTTTTGATGTGATTTGTAAACCTCGTTCATATTCTTATGTTCCTCTTTAGATCAGTTTCGAAGGTCTGGCTGAAGGTTGGTTTCGTTAACACTGAACAAAAAAAAATATTTTTTTTAATAACTTAATTTTCCATCCATTTTAGGAGGGGATGAAATTGATAGAAATCATTAAAATAGGTGGAGGGGGGGGGCAGAAGGGGCCGTTCCATGCATGCGTACATATACATTTTGTATTAGTAATTGTTTACGTTCCTCATTTTGTAAAGACGATTTGACAAATACCCAATCCGCAATTCTAAATCGCTTCCGCTTTTTTTGATTTCGCTCTGATGATCAAAAACGAATGTTGAGGAATTTTTGTATTTCGAAAAAGACTACTTCTCAAGATTTTATTCTCAAACGGAAAATTATAGACCTTATAAGATATGATATATATAAAACTGACCTAACTTGGCAGACGTTTTCATTGATAGCCTTTAGTTTTTAAATAAATATGTCTAAAACCTGCGACATATTTTAATATTTACTTTGTCTATAATATATATATAAATAAAGTATAAAGTTTAAGAAGATATTGAGAAGAGAGCCGAGAGGGAGAGAGGAGCCGGTGGGGAGGAGGGGGGCAGAAGGGGGCCGTTCCCATGGCAGCGGGCTCCCCAGCGGCCGCCCCCCTCTCTCCCCCCTGACCGATATAGCATCACTGTCTCTCAATATCTTTAACTCTAACTCTAATATATATATTGTAATATATATATTAGTATATAAATACCGCCTCTAGGCTCTACTCTTATTTATATACTTGTGTAGGTCTTACGTGTAACTAATGCTTCAGCTAGAGTTAAATAAATCTAGAAGGGCAATGTTGTTAACTTATTAATAAGGAATAACTTGCTTGTTAAAGTATAAAAACTATATCCATATATTTTAAGAGGAGGTTATAATAGTTTTAAACTTATAACATATTCGTTTCTTTCATTATATAGTTTGTTTAGTGAAATTTAATTTACTGATTGAATATGTTCTTTTTTATGATTCAATGTATTTTTTTTTAAATTCTCCTTTTGTTTACGATAAAGACAAATACTAACAAAAACCAATTAATACAAATATTACGTCATAAGGTTTAAAAAAAAATCATCAACGTAGTTTTCGAAAAATGAATACAAAATTAATAATATAAATATCTACTGATTTAAATCAAAACAAAAAATATATTCCTTTAAATTAGAATTTATTATTGTTAAATCGTCTTTAATGAGGTTATGTAAATTTATTGTGTGCGAATATTTTTTTTATTGAAATATTTTTTATAACATCTTAAGAGCCTCCTACACCACAATATTAAGTCAATATAGAATATATTAAACCGTCTGAGGGATATATTCTAACAATTATATTGTCATTTTTTATACGTATACCACGTTAAACAATATTGATTCAATAATATTGATCGTGTAAGGTCGGCTTAAAGGTGTTTTCAGTCATTTCACTTAAATAACAGCGATTTTAGCGCTCAGCCAAACATTTTTTTACTACCTATATGTCTTAGGAGATGGAGAACATCAGAAACAAAAACACCATTGTATGGAAACAATTATTTAGGTATTTGTAGGTTAGGTTAGGTTACGAGTTATCTTAGGCGATCAACAAATTAACTTGGTTATTACTCCCTTGAGCTATGGTGTTATTTTTTATTTATTTTTACGAATGTACAAATATTTTTATATCTATCCGAATGTTTAGATATTTGTATTTGCCATATTTTGTGAAAAGTCTAAACGCACTTAAAAAAATCATAACCATTCGCTATGCGGGTTAGCATACACTCCTCCTAGACTTGGCGGGTTAGTATCCAATGAAAACTTATTGTCAAAACTCATTTCTTCTATCTGAATTCAAAAGGGCTCAAGTAATTCTTTCCTTACGAAAAAAAATGTAATTAAATTTTCGCCGAAATTCTGTTTTTTTTTTTTTTCATTTGTACAAAAGGTGTAAGTCGTAGTTGAATCTATATATAATATGGTCTGATCTAAAAGGTTTTTGTCGTTTATACATATCAAAAGAGCAAAAGTATTTAAGTGATCTCATATCAATTACGGACATCTGTGATTTATAAAAAGTTGAGAAAAATCCACGTTTTGTTCTTTTTTTTAAATAGCTTCAATTTAAACCAATTTTAATAATTTTTTTTTTCATGATTTAACTTGAACATTCGTAAATGAAACCATCAGTTTGAATTGAACCTATAAAACAAAAATTCGCTTTTTATCCACTTTCTGAAAATGGCTGTTGTCCGTCTTTGATGATATGAGTCCACTCATTTAATGAAAATGTACAATTTTTTTTTCTCGTAAAAAAAAAGCCATTTTGATAAAAGGTCAGTGAGTTTTAAAAGTTAAAAAAATAAGGCACATTGTATACATTATAATAATATTATATTATAATGATACAATGTGCCTATTTTTTAACTTTTAAAACTCACTGACATTGTATACATTACATATATATATAATAAAATAAACTATGTTCAAAGCCGTTTATAAAAAACTCCTTAAAATAAAAAAAACGAATTGTTTAAAATCAAAACTGTTATAGTAATTAATAAACTTCATCTTTATTTCTAAATTAAAATATTAGAAAATAAGTTAAAGATTACATTAATTTGTTTATTAACTTTGCATGACTTAGTTATTAAGTCTTACATGAGGCGTCTACTGACAAAAAAGGATAGTTTCATTTTTTTTTTTTTTTTTTTTTTAGTTTATTATATTAATAAAATAAACAGACATCAGGAACCGAATCCTTATAAAATGTAACAAAATCTGTCAACGCTCCAAAGATGATAATGACAAAGATATGAAAATATGCAATGTACTGTCTTGTAAGAATTTCATGGATTTTACTAATTTTTTTTTTTTTTTTTGCTAAATTTTGGAATTGGAGTTAAACCTTTTAGTTAGTAGACGATTAATTTTTATGGTAGATTTTTATTTATTTTTTTGTATGTAGCACTGTAGGTTTTCTTTTGAGTATTTATATATATATGTATATATTTTTTGCTTGTTGATATTTATATATTTCTGAAAAATATTTAGCCCAATTATAAATATTTTTCATTGATATTTTTGAAGAGAATTTTTAGGACGTTGTTTATTCTTTTGTTAAGGAGAAAAAGGCGAAACTTCAGTAAACAGGCGTCTGAAATCCTTAATGAATACTTCTACTCCCACCTGAGTAACCCCTACCCCTCGGAGGAGGCCAAGGAAGAACTTGCGAGGAAGTGTAGCATAACCGTATCACAGGTAAGATAAAATATATATTCAATATAATAATAATAATAATAGTAATAGTAATTATTATTATATTATATTGTTGTATGGTTCTAGGTGTCGAATTGGTTCGGAAACAAGAGGATCAGGTACAAGAAGAACATAGGGAAGGCACAAGAAGAAGCGAACCTCTACGCTGCGAAGAAGGCGGCAGGTGAGTCGTTTTACGATGACGATAGTCGCTTTGACTCGCCTTAATATCATGGCCTCATTGATATTAGTAACAATAAAATAATAATAATAATATATAGTAATGATAGCCTCCTTATATATAATAAGGAGTTCGAACCGATTGTTGACAATTTTTTATTAAAATCTTGTATTAATACATTTTTTCCATGTATACTAATAACTAGTATGATTCAAATCAAAGAGAATTTTCATGATAACGATTGTTGTGACACTTGATACGATTTTTTTTTTATTAAGAATGACTGAAGATTTAAAAAACTGTATACGATTTTGTGACTGTGTCGGCTGATTTTTCGACTATTTTTTTAAAAAATTGATCCTCCCGCACCGCTACCACAAGTGTACGTGCGGTGCCATACGAATACTGTATACGACTCTATTATATTCATGATAGGCTTATTATTCATTAGAATGTTAGTGTTGAATCAAGTTTTCTTCAATGTCTTATTGAATGTTAAATGATAATTTTTTAGTAAACAGAAAATATTTAAAAAAAAAATCACCAAGGTTAGAGTAATTGATTTGTTTTTGTTTTTGAAAATTTGTCACTGAATTTTTTATTGTAACATTATTAGACTATTGAAAGTTTTTCGAAACGATATTTAATTATTGGTTTTAGTTTTTAAGTATTATAATTGTTATGTTAAATATAATTTGATGATTTCTGTGATTACAGAATTAAGTCTTATGATTAAATGTTTGTGATTAAAACAAGTTGTGTATACCAACCACTATTGAATCGATTTGTTATTTAGCATTTCTATTTTTTTTTTCTTATCTTTTCTTTCTTTTTTAATTTGATATTAGTTTTGTTGTATGTTATATTGTCATTAGGTTTAAGAAACATTGTACAATTTATTATATTCTTCTTTAGTTGTTCTTACTATTATTTTGAAAATAGTAAGATGATAAGATGTAAACGATTTTGTAATCAGTGTTATTTTTTTCAAATAAAATATTGAGACTCATTAAAATTTTTGAGATCAAATTTCTTTTTTTTTCTTGTTTTTTTCTTTTTATTTATTTTTTTGTTTTTACCTTTGTCAGTACAAAAGTTCATAGAACTTATGAAGGGTTTGACACTTTTGAAATTAATATCTGAAAGAAGAAAAAAATTAATTGTTTTATAGAAAATATATAATATTTAAATGCATTACACGCAGGTTAAAATATATTTGAATTTGAGAAAGTTTCTGGGTTGATATTAGTACTGCAAAGTTGATGACAATATTATAATAATTCAGATTATGAATTTGAAGATTTTTATTTTTTGCTCTGTTTATTAATTCATTCAAAAAGAAAATACTAGTAAATTGTAGAAGAAAAAAATATATGCATTAGATTTATTTAGAATATTATATTTGTAACATTATCATAAAAATAAGGTTGATTTATTTAAAGAAAGGAAATATTGGGTCTATTCGACAACAGGAGGTAGGAGGTATACAATCACATTCAGAACATCAATTGAGCACGTTTTTGGACTAAGTGAAATGCTCACATCAATCCAAACTCCATTATTATAACATCAATCCAAAAATTATATATATAATTTATTCTTAAATATGTTTTAAGGATGATATTGTAATTATTGTTTTAAGTGGTATGACGTCGCGACGGAGATAATAATGACTTAGAAATCTTCCCTTATTCATATAACTCTGATTGAAGGACTGGTGGCTCTCAAGAAAATAGTAAATAAAAAACGTTAATTCTGGTTTAAATGGCATTAATTGAATTGCACAGCTAACAATTTTTTCACGTTACATAAAATGTTTATATATATATATATCGTTTATTAAGTTTATACGATTTTATATATATATATATAATTATATATATATATATATATATATATATATATATATATAAAGAAAATCGTATAAACTTAATAAACGATAAAATATATCACTGATAATATAAGCAAGCAATTTGTTTTTTACAGAATTTACGTTTCGATACCTACTATCGAATGGGAAAAGTCCCACCGTGTAGCTAGTTGTTTATAATTAGTTGATGTCGATTTTTACATACATTAATTTTTCCTAAACCAATTGTTCATAAATACGACATTTCAATGAAAAAATTAATTAATTATTTATCTCTTACTAAGACCCAAATATATTTATTCAAAATATCTTTAAACACTAAATTTTTTTGTGAAATCACTGAAAATTATTCTTTAATTTGTATTTTTAAGGGCTATATCGTGGGAAACTAAAAAAAAATAGTTATTGGCTTATGTCCTAGGATTATTGAGGAAATATAATATACAAAAAAAGTTTTGATTGGAATATTTTAATTTGTAGGTTTTTTTCCGTCTTTGAACCTCCGTGTGTGGTTTCAGTCAGTAAAGTAACTGTTTTATAAAATTCAATAACCCATAACTTTGGTGAGTTTTCCTTTTGTGAAATGACTTTAGAACGAAAAGGGCTCAATATGCAAAATTTTTAAATTTAATTTTCGGGCTTGACCACAGGGAGGATGGGGGTTTTCGGGTTTGAAGTTGCTCTCCTCTCCCGAAAGAAAATAGTAAAAAAATATTTTTTTAACAATTTGTTCTCTTTTCAAAAAATATCGCATATGCCTACCTAAACTTAAGTGACTAGGAAAAAAAACAACATAAAAGCATGATTATTTTTCCTGTATTTACCGTTTTATTTTTTTAACAGACCTTCAAGTGTCACTTAAACATCGTTTTAATATAGTTCCTTTGTTTTTCATCGTAAGATACGACCGTATTGAATAATAACCACCCTCCTTCCACTACAAAAAAAGAAAAAAAATTATAAACCCGCTTCTAGTTTAATTATTAGACATTGTTGAATTGAGTTTTAAAGGGGGTTCGATTTTATATTGTGTCGAAATTATTATTTTTATTTAAGTTGTTTCCCTCAAGGTTCGAAAAATATTTTTGTTTTTCGTAGAATTCCAGCCATCGCGAACCGACCATAAAAACACGCACATAAGTCCTGCTTGTCGAAGATTTCCTTCAGAAGCCGAAGACGAGAAAATACTTTATTTTTCCAATCTCTGGTGGAGGGAGGAGTATCGGGAGCTCATCCGGCTGTAAAATATATAATTCCTTTTATTTTCGATTTCCTCGGAATATATTTTATTTATTAAGGACTAAAAGAGGAGATGAGCCTGACTGGAGGGAGATGTGACTTTTTGCTGGACTGATATATATCGAGGAGGTTTGGCTCTGACAGGCGGAATGGTGGGTCCTTATTCCTTAGCACGGGGCCCGACCATGGTATTAACATAATACCCGGGTTTGCATTTATGAATTACAATTGTCCCTGGTTCATTAGCGTTCTGGATGGAACCACTTGTGAAGTTGGCTCGCTATTCATTGCTTTATATGAGTCTACTTCATCTCGTTAACCACTTATAGACATCGTCGCTTAATTTTTTTTTTTTAATTTACTGTTTAAAAATAGATAATAACGCATTTTATGTCGTCAATGTCATCGGATTTAATTTTTGTAGATTTTTTTTATAACAATTATTTTTGGGGGAAAATTTTTTGAAATGATATTAATTTATGAACAGTTAATTAACAAATTTTTGGACCCATTTTTCATTCAAAAATACATTAACAAATAAAAATGTCTTTATAACTATAAAAACAACTTTTATTAAATTACTATCATATATATTTGTAACGTTTCAACCACTGGGCGATTTTCAAACATTTCTTCATACATATTATTTATTACCACCTGTATATTTTTTTTTCAAAAAATAATATTTGCAAATGGCTAAAGGGCCGAAACGTTGCAAATATATATGATATAACTAAATAAAAGTTTTTAATATTGAAACAAAATTTTCTGTTTGTTGACTAGGAACGCACCTGCACCTAACAATGTATCAACCCCCATTTTAAAACTGTTCATTTAATTGTACAACTCGCAAAGTGCGTTCTTTATCAGTTAAACTCCAATTATTCCACCTTATATGTAAAATACATTATTTCACGGTCAGTAAAAACTTTTTTATATAATAGAAGAGAGATAGATGTATTTTGAGATGAAAAGTGGGTACAAAAAATTATTAATTAATTGTTCATAAATTAGCTATCATTAAAAAATGAGAAACCAATTTAAAGGTGAACAAAATAAATTTATGATGTTTAAGTGATTGTTGAAGACCCCCAAAAAAAGTTAATCAAAGGAACATTAATGTTTTTAGAGATAAATTTCTTATACTTTTTGTTTGTACATGATTTCACTTGGCGGATTTTATTTTTATAACTCAGTTTGTATTATAAATAATAGATATGGGGGTTAATTGCCATTTTTTACTTATCGGTCTCTGTTGATTTTTTTTTTTTTTTAACTTTCATTATTAACAATTGCTGAAAATGGCCTTTTAGGTTTTCAAATAAAATTCTATTATGGAGACACAAATTTTATTATTAATTTATCATTCCGAAACTAACAGACTATTCACTTATTAGTGGCCAGAATGTATTTAGATTTTTTTTTTTTTTTGGAAAATGTCAAACAACCCTTCTTACCAAAGTGAAATTTGATGTTAGAAGAAAAACGAATGAGTCATTCTATACCAGAGAGACATTCCTTGACAATCGATGATACATTTCATCAAGAATGATTGAAATTCTTGTGCCAGAGAAATTTTTAATTTCTGTACAACCTAAATTATGCCTGGTGAATAATGTCTAAATACAACAAACTCTCGTTTCACATTATCTACTTACTGCACTATCTACAAGTTTATTTTACCTGGGAAAAGGAAGATTCTCAAACCACCTCCTATATTCCTCATGTTAATAAAATGCATGAATTAGGCTCAGCTATAGTAATATAAAACTTACCAGGCATTATGACTATTTCTTCAGGATTTGATTTGTCTCTTAAATGAGTTAAAGATGAAATAGCTATGACTTGTTATGTCTTTAATAATGGAAAGAGACATTAAGTTTTTATTAAAGACTTAAATGTGAAGAGACAGATTTTTCTCTCTTTGTTTTCATAGTACATCATTTCATTAATTACTTTAAATTAGTAATTTTTTATGTCTTCCTCTCTCATTTTCAAACTCACATCCTTGTTTACTACCATTGGAATGTGTAGTTAAATATTTGATTTTGTTCTCACATACACATATAAATATTTTATAAAATGTGATTTTAAACTCTAAAATAGGAAATAAAATCGATGCTAAGTAACATTTTTGAAGATTTTATTTTTCTATACATCTTGAGGTTAATAAGCCTTATGTGATAAGTTTTTAAATAAAAAAAAAAAAGAAGAAAATTCTCAAACAAATTTTCTCAACATGATATATTTTAAGGTGTTTTGTAGAAGTGGTGTGATTAAATATCGCAAGACTGAAATAGGAAGAAATTAAGGAAGCTAAATTTTGAAAATAGAAGAATTAATGAGAATGTATATTTTCAAGTGATTAAAAGGGTTTGAAAAAAAAAAAAAAAATTATGGTTAAAATAATTAAATAAGTATTGTTCAACTTGTGCGTGTCTTTAAGGAACTCAGTGATAATATGATATTATAATTCTTAATTGTAAGTAACCAAAACATTTTTTATTTTTTGTTTATGAATTGGTAATTAAAACTTCTCTAGAAAGTATCACAACTCAAAATTTTTGTAAAATAATTTGGATAATTGGCTCTTGTTATTAATCATTATAATATACATTTCTCACTGAGACAGAGATTATTGTCTTGATGAGGTCGTAGCTACCTCAATGGCTAGTCCAAAATTATTTAGTTTTTTGTTGTTCTTTTTTGAGTTGTGATCCTTTTCTAGGAGATGGTCGATTTTTCAAAAGAGAGAAAGTGGAAAGAACTAACAGGAATGCGTGTGTTGCAGCCGGAGCTTCCCCGTATAGCCTGGGCCCTGGATCAGGGGGCACCGCCACCCCGATGATGTCGCCAGCACCCCCGCCGCAGGACTCGATGGGCTACTCGATAGGTATCAACGGTACAGATTACAGCTCACCGATGTCTGCGGCACAGGTACTCCATCACTACTAGTTCTAGCTTATTAGTAATAAAAAATATTCTTTAGTTATTCTAAGAATTCATCACATGTTAATTTTTTTTTAATATATCGACAGGCACACTGCAAAAAAACCTGTTAATATATTTTTATTAGAAAGTTCAGTTTTGAGCTCTTCTGCTCAATCTTGGTCTCATGCAATAAAAATTTAATGGAAAATGTAGTAATTCATAAAATAAGAAATCAGCGTTTTTCTTTTCTTTTTTGTCATACCAAGTTTTAGCAGTAGTGAGTTAACATGTTGGATTATACATACGTCCACTACTGCCAATAAAACTGTTCATTATTTTATATTTTTTATTCTACACGATTCATGGAAATTTTAATTTTGTAATAATTTATTAGGCTTAACAGTGGTTTATTTAGTGTTATGAATAATTTTAATTTTTTGCATTTACAGGCATTTTCTGCAGTGAGTTTGTTGATAAATTTGTTATAGTTGTTATAAAGCTCAGTACCATAACATTTATTTACCTACTTACCTGAAATTTAAAGTAACCTACTCTTTTACAAAGTTTATTTTGTGTATTTAAAACAGAAAATAAAACTCTTTTTTTTTTTCATTTTAAAATATTGCCCAAGTATAGTCTTTCTCAACATGATATATACCACAGAAGTTCAAAATGTTTTGTTTTACTTTGATTTTATTATTTTAATTAGGCATAAATTTCAAGTACAGAAACTAATTGTGAATTTTATTACACACTTGATTATAACAATGTAATGTTTCATTCAAGTATTCTTTTGTCTTAGCTAAAATGTTGATCAATTACACATTGATACAATATTAATTCGAAATGAATCAGTTTTTTTTTTTTTATTTGATCATTTTACTCACAAATTAAAAGTATTACTATATGTATAAAGTTGGTATTCATACTATAAATGGATAAATTAAAAATAATCTAATTATCAACACTAACCTTAAAAGTTTAGAGTTCTTCTTTTTCCTTTAACACCTACCAAATAGACATTATAATATAAAGTTAAGATATATAAATTTTTATATCACTTATTAGGACTGTAAGTTGGGACACACATGCCCGCACCATAACCAAATGTAGTTCCTTCGTGATAAAACCAAACATATATTATTAAATTACATTCGATCACAGTACACGGGGATTAGGTGCCCCAACCTCATAAAAGCAGGCAATTTACATTTACTATTTATCACTCACTTGTCATCAATATGTTTTATTCTATAATAATCTTTTTATTGCTTAGCACCCTTGAATGTAAAAATAAGCTCTTGCTTCACGTTAAAAAATTCCACCTTATCAGCACTAAATATTAATATGTAACATGAAAAGAAATATTTAAATTTTAAAAGCCTTGGTTGTTCTTGTTGATTCGTAATTTTTTTTATTAAAATTCTTAGTTTTAAGAGTTTTAGCCTTGTTCATAATTTTTTTTTTATTTTAAAATTTATAAAATTTCTTTCACCAGTACAAACGCTCTCTCCCACACACCCCAGCTTAAGAACCACTAGTCTAGATTATTTGATTGATAAAACTTAATTAACATTGCCTTTAATATATTATTTAGCATTAGTACCTGTGAATACATCCAAGAAATAAATTGTAGACTATTATCTTGTTAAGTAAATGAATATTGAATATTATATATATATATTTTTTTTATTTGGTGTTAAGGCTAGACTAATGTAATACTGTTACAAATGTTTCAGACACCGTACTCGGACGGTAGCCTCGGCTATGAAGGGATGCATCAGGTGAGCGACTGATCTCAGGTGATACAACCCAGCCTCATTCACAAATCCTTTTTTTTTTTTTTTAATCCGTTTCCTGCTGTGAATCTTTACATTTAATTTAAACTCTGTTCTAAAAATCATAATCACATCTATTTAGGAAATTTTCTGTAAACTTAAAAACAAATTAAATCTTTTCAATAATATGTGAGAAAAAATAAATAAATAACTGCTACGGTTCGGCCATGATTACTTGGCAGCTCTAGGACAAATTCTTATTTTGTTTTTACATTAAACCTCCGATATTTCTTAAAAAATACATAGTTATATATTGAAAGATGATATCGTAATCTTCTAATTTATGTTAGTAAATATTTTATAAGTAATGTTAGAGGATTTGGGAAATAACAAAATGTTATTTTCAGCGTAATTCTATATGAGCTTGTCCTCGGACTGCTGACTAGTTGTGGTCAAACTATAGATTCACACTGGGAATAATTATCAATAGATTAGTTTTATACATTGATATTAATTGTAAGTGTAGTATAAGTATTCAGTTAAAAACATTTGGACTAATACTTTATAGCAGTTAAATTCTAAACATCAACAATTTACTCTTGAGGATTATTTTTTAGTTTATTAATATTTCAAGTCAATTTATAGTATTAATGGGAATGGGGTAGCTCAGTGGTAGCATACCGAGCTTCCTATGCTAAAGATTCCAGGTTTGAATCTCAGCTCATGGCAGAAAAATAATTTATTCTGTATCATTGGCTGTGGGGCGACTCTGCTGGGTAGGCAGACTCTCCTGGGGCACACCCAGCCTGAGGTGGGTACTCTTAATTAAAATAATTGATTAAGGGGAAAACCTGGCGTTTGAGCGTGATCTCGGTCAAATCCCCTCCTTGCACAACCGTAGACCAAGAAACAGTGCTTTCTCTTTACAATACTGAACCCAAGACCCTTCATGGGTTGGAGTGGTACAGGGTTATTTAATTTTTTTTTTTTAGTATTAATAGTGAAGAAAACATTTTTTTTGTTTGCTCCATAAAATTGTAGCCATACAATTTTATATATAAAACCTTTTAAGAAAAAATAGGAATTTTTTCACAAAAAAAAAATGGACATTTAAAATTTTAGAAGTATATCTATAATATATATCATAATATTCGTAGTTAATTTTATTTTTAATCGGATGTATTTTGATTTAAACTGTCTAACCCATATATAAAACAACATTTAAAATCCCCAAAAAAATAAATAATTAAAAATAGAGAATATATGAATGTAGCCTGTATTAAAAAAAACGAGAATAATCAAGAAGCCTTTTGACGATTTTAGAACAAAATACTATTTAAGCACTTCTCAAATAAAAATGCCTTTGTTTTAGGATTTTTTTTTTTTTTTTTTTATGCTAAGAGAAAATATTTTAAAAGAAACTTTGTCACCAACGAAACGAACTTTGAAAGAGCTGTGAGCCAACTGAAATAGATGCCATAAACGGACAACAGATAAGCCTGCATGTTTACAAACATAGCCAGTTCGAGTTCATACATAGCATGGCGTGGAAGAAACTTACATCACACTCGAATATAGTTAACAAGTTTGGTTGCTATTTGACTGATAAATAATTGCATCACGGAGTATTGAAAGAGTAGTTCTATCATAAAATGTTTTTAAAAAAAATTAATTTTTTTTAGCAAGATTTTTTTTGTATAGCTAATGAAATAGTTAATTAGCAAAATTAAAAGTACTTGGCTGTTTAGGGAACAGACATTTCGACATCCAACGAAGCCATGAAGATAATTCATATACCTTAAATAATTTAAAAACGGCCCTTTTAAGATTGGTCAATTTAATTGTTATATTTTTAAAAAAACGAATTTGTTTCAAAGTAAAACGATATTATTTAATAAATTATTCTCAAAATTAAATTTCATAAATATCCTGAAAATAATAAAATGAGAGTTTTATTGTAGGTTGACCATAAGTAGTCTTATATTTGATAGATGATATTAGGAAAGTATGTTTTACGTTGTTAAAAATTTGATGAGAGTAATAAAATGTGAACGCATAAATCCGAACCACCCTCTTCCCATGATTGAGTGAAGTATCATTTTATTCCCTTAGAGATGAACAGTGATAGCCCCCGAGGTGAGACTTTGATGGCTCGAGTAAAAGAGAAGAGAGGCATCATCTATCGGCCTTATTACTCCATAATAAGGCATTAGGGCCCTGCTCTATTTACGACTGCCACAAAGGGAGGTCCCTCCCTCCCCTCCACCCCAGGAGAGGAAGGGTTTATTTTGGCAGCCGTCGGTAATAGGCATTGAAGACCTCAAGCAGGAGGGAGGAGCGTTAAATCAACGTAAAGGGGCGGTATGGCCAGTAAAAGATGTCCGCCGGGGTTTACTAGCGCAGTAATGGAAAGCCAGCCCATCATGGGGGAATAAAACTGGCCAGCGCAACTGTTTTAGTACCTACCCCCTCCCCTCCCTCCTTCCTTCTTTGAGCCCTTCCTCTCCTCTCCCTCCCCCTCCCCCTCCCTCTCTCCCCAGTCCTCTACTACCCTCTCACCTCATTTTATTTTTAAGATCTGCTCCGTCTTATCTCTTCCTTCAGTTTATTACTACCGTGATGGTCTGGTTAAAAGCAATTCATAGTAATTATTTTACTTTATTTCATGATTTATTTAATTATACATTCTCATCGGACATAAAAATGATGATGTATATTAACTTTAAAACAAAATTATTAAAAATTGGAGTACTTTCTTCTCTATCTAAAAACTTTATAATTCATTATTCCAATATTAACATAAAAAAAAAAAAACTAATGTTCTCATATATGGTGTTTTCAAGGATCGACAAGCTCTTGTAATGTTACTCTTTATTTATGTTATAACAACGTTTCGATATACTTTGCTTATTTTCCAGTCATCCATAACAACAATTCACAAAAACATTATTAACAATACTAATCATAATTATCTCGTAACAATTCAATTTATAATCCTTCAATGAATTACTGTAAGAATTTATAATGAAAATGAGCAAATTTGCTCGAAACGTTGTTACAATATAAATAAAGAGTAACATTACAAGGGCTTCCCCCAGAATGGTAAAATATAACCATGTTTTACAGAAAAAAAATTAAAATCTATCTCTTAAAGTATTCTTGTTCCTGTAATTACATTTAATAGGACTTCAGGAACCACTTAAACGCCACTTCATATAGGTAGTTAATTTCTTTCTTTTTTTTCAAATTAATTATCGTTATATGTTTATGACGAAAAAAAAACTTTCGGGCTGAAGCCCCCCCAAAATTAAATCCTGGATCCGCTAGTGATTGACAACAATAGCTTAGCAAAAAAGAGATGGACCAGAAACTGAAAATAACATAAGTTTCTGATGATAGGAAGAACATTTCTCGAAACGTTAAACATAATGCAGCAAAATAAAAAATAATAATAATCAAAAGGAAGTTATATGTGCCAACCACATCAACAAAAGATCACATTTTCATCAACATTATTTGCAAATACCAGTCAGTATTAAGTTATACCAACCATTATGGTCTTTTTCCATCTTATTAAGAAAGAAAATTATTCTAAACAAGATTTTTAAATTTGTTCATGTTAACACATTAAAAGCGGGGGATCTTGACGAAAGTAAGCTAGTCGAGATAAATCAAAGTACTACGACTTCCGTCTTTAATGTGTTAATATTATGTTGTTCTATTGAATTTGTCCATTATAAATAAGGTATAGTTGTATTGACTATTGTATGTTATTGTTATTGTGTTGATTGCAGGGGAGCGGTAAGACGTCCGGCTCTCCGCCACTGGTGCGGGGGGAGGGGTGGAACCCACCGAGGGAGCAGATCCCAGACTTCCAGCCTCTCCACCCAGAAGATAGTGGGGACTCGTCGGACATCGACATCAAGCGACCCAAGATATAAGTTACCCTCCGCAGGCGCGCAGTTCAGTATTAAACGAAGCAGAGCGCGAACAGCAAAACGAACGAAGGAGACAATAAATGGAGGAAGGAGCTTGGTGTGAACGGAACCCCTTCAGCTGCCCCCTCGGGAGTGCATTGCCCCTAACTCATTGTGATACAGCTATTGTTTATATTTATAGAATTTAAGTGTTATGTTAAAAAAAAAAGTTTAGTTCTCTCTTATTGTGTAACGTAACTTCAATTTCCTCATTGTGTTCATTAAATTAAAACTTCTTTAATTTTCTTTTTTTTTCGTTTCTTGTTGTATAATTATAATAAATAAGGGAGAATTATATTACTCTACGTATACCGCGGGTACTGCACCACTAGAGGGGGCATTGTGCATTTGTATAAAATTGAGGATATACGTGTAAAGTTGTAATTGTAATTGAATTTTGTAGATGATTTGTTTATATACATTTGGTGGAGGTGATTGTAAATTATAAATAACTCCCCCTCCTTGTTTTAATTGATTCAGTTTATATATATGCATTTCTCTTTTTCTTTATTATAATTTTTTTTTTTACGCACAATTAAAAGTGGAATTACCAATGAAAATAATTATGGACTAAATTAATGTATAACAGAGACTCTTTTGTACGTTATTGTTTTATTTTTTATTGAAACCAGTCGACAAAGCAATATCAGACGATTACGTCTGTATTTTAGCGGATATACGAACGAATCATTTTCCATTTGTGTATATTTATGTTCCGATGATAGTTATAAATAAATTGATAGTGTTATATTACCTTATTATCTAGCTTTATGTCTAATGTACAGAGAGCTTAAACAAGTATACGTACATAAATACACATCATATTTAGTAAATAAGCAAACCTTGTGGTCATCGGAGTCAATCTCCTGCTTCGTATACGAAGTTAAAATTTAAGTATTAAAATATTTAATAAAATTTCAATGGCCTCGTTATATAAAAAAAAGTTTTTTCATACATTGCTTATTTTATTTTTAGACATTATATGCACAATCTTTGTATGCCTTTTAACTATTGTATACTCTAGCTATTTAAGTCGACTTTAATGAAGAGTTGGCAAAATGCGATTGTTCCTAAAAAAGCAATCCGCAGTGATTATGAATGATATACCAGGATTCTCTATGATCCGCAAAACAATATATGTATACGATTTTCTAAAAAAAAATAAAAACAAAATGTAATACATTGTAACAATATTGTTATTCTAATACGTATATAAGGTAGTGTAATTTGAAGATTTTTTAGCATATATACCTAGGCGACAGAGTTTGTGTGATTACTAACAATTAGTTAAAACTATGTGTAATGTGTTTGGCCAGTAAGCATGGAATATCGGTTGGAACACGCAAAAATTAAAGCATGTTCATTAAATACAAAATGAGTAAATAAATATATATCTATATATTATATATATAATATATATAACAATTTCGTGTAAATATTTTTTTTTGTAATAAATAAAAAGGTGCATAATATTTACTTATTCGATATTTCTGGATATGCTTGAATTTTGCGAGTGGTGCCTATGTATTTCGGGGGTGAATGTGGACAATTTTATGGATACGCGTATACCATTGCAAATGTGATCGGGTTACTGTCTCTAGCTTTAATGGTTTCTGCTCACAATTAGCAGTTTTAAATAATAACGGGCTGTAGTATTTTTGACTTTTACATTTTATTTTATAAAATTTAATTTTGTTGTATCCGACAACAGGCAAAATTATTTTTTACTACTTATCTCTCTCACTCAGGTATTATAACTATCAATCGAGTTATTTTTTCATAAAACAGTGTGGTTTCGTATAAATCATATCTTTATCCGAATACCATAGGGATAAAAATATGATTTGAGCCGACGACTCTGTCTGTCAATCTTGTATACAATCAAGCATAGGCATTTTAAAAAAAGAAAAAGAAAAAAAAATTTAAAAAAAGAATCGGCATAGAGGCTTAAATGTTTAGATTCGCGATGTACAAGTTTTAGAATTGGAATTTTTATCTGATAGTCCCCCTTAGCACATTAGGCATAGGTATTATTAAAAAAAAAATAAAAAATACGACTTGCCCACGTTAATAATTTATTGTAAGTTTTTAATTTTAAGGCATTATAATTAGTGATGTATGATTGGATGTGTGTTGAGCGCGGTTAAACCTATCTGTTGCTAAATGCAGCCTAGACGAACTGAGTTCTACTAAAAAATAATAATGAAATTAGTTGTTTTAATTTTTTGTGTTTTTAGAGGACAAATAGGTTTAACTCAAGCTTAGGTTATACTATTTATGTGCAAAAACAATGCAGTAATGCATGTCAAGTATACGGAGTACGGTTGTAACTCAGAGCTATTTTTCATTCTGTGTATGTAAATTTTAGCGAGTAAAGTTCTATAAAAAGTTTACAGCACGCAGAGAAATCACATTCATTGCAACAAGTTTAGTTTATCTTCTCTATGTTCTGTAATACTAAAATTTTAAAATTATAATCATTGATGTTGAATATACCGATCGTCTTCTTGTTTACAATTCCTATCATCATCAAATTCCATTTCCTTAGCTGGTAAGTTTATTATACTTATGGTTTTATATTACGAAACATTGAATATGTAGTTGAGATGATTAAAAGGTACTGGTTGACCTGTGAGAATAATTCACTTATTATATTAGTCAGTGAAAAAATGAGTAGTACGAGAGGGAGAAATTAATTTTGGTCAATTAAAATGGTTCATTCAAAATAATAAAATAAAACCTGTCTACGATTTATAAATTGGCATCTGGAAGAAAAATAGTCCAATTTCAATAATTTTTATTTTGTTTTGTAGGGAATTTCAAAATCCTTCAAATAATTATATATACATATATACACACACACACACACACACACACACACACACATATATATATATATATATATATATATATATATATATATATATATATATTCGTTAATTATTCATCAAATCCAATGATTAAGCTATCATTTTGACAATTATTCTTGAGGCACATAGATATCTACCCAATCACATTTGGAAAAATATTTGCATATCCATGATCATCATCAAGTACATTCTCTAGATAAGTCTGGAAAAATAGTTATATATATTATATATATATATATATATATATATATATATATATATATATATATATATATATATATAATATATATATAACTATTCTATTATATATATAACAATTTTTCCAGACTTATCTAGAGAATGTACTTGATGATGATCATGGATATGCAAATATTATTCCAAATGTGATTGGGTAGATATCTATGTGCCTCAAGAATAATTGTCAAAATGATAGCTTAATCATTGGATTTGATGAATAATTAACGAATATATATATATGGAGTACCGAAAAAAAAATACCTTAGAGAAATAATACATAAAAATTAGTGAATTTAGTAACGATTTACTAATTTAAAAAATACTAAATGTAACTAACTATTAACTTGTTATAAACAAATAACACCTTATTAATTATTGGCTAATTTTCTCTTACTCAGAAAGGAAAACGTATGTGACCTATAAATAATTACTTTAATTATAAAAATTGATAATTAGAGTTATTGGTACTGACATTGGTGAGCACAAAAGTCTGACGAATGAACCTAAAAGCTTTTTTTACCAAACTTATGCCACTTGACTTCCTCTCTTCTTATGTAGATGATATCCAGGGAGCATGTGGTTAATGATAACCGGACGCGATCACAATCATTTCCTCTTTATCAGGATGGATGGCAACATTTTGTATAAGTCTCTACCCTGTTTTTTTTTTTACGGGATAGGGTATTAGCCCTGTGCCCATCCCCCAAATCTGGAGGACCAAAGGAGCTATGTTATTAATATAGGGGTCACTTTCACCTTCCTGTGAATCTCAGGGTAGGAACGTTACCGTCCCCATTTGGGAATCAAACCCACACCGTAGTGGTCTAAGCAATCGAGTAGGGACTGCACTTATTTATTTATTATTATAATTGTGGGTAAATGGTTGACTGTCGTGAATAATGAAGAGAAGAATAGTTGGTGTGATCAGTCAAATAAGAACACAAAAATAAATGATATTTACTTTGACATTTGCCAACGTTTCGACCTGAACTTCAGGCAATGTCAAAATAAATATTATCATATATTTTTGCCTTCTTATTTGACTGATCACCCCAACTATTCTTCTCTTCATTATTTATTATTAATTATTTATATTTTTATCTTTTTTTTTTTTTTATTTAATCTCGTAAACTGGATATAAACTCGTAGCATAAAATACCTTTTTTACCAAACTAATAATATACATCATATTCATTTAAAAAAACTGTTAAGCCTCTACATATAGAGCACAAAAGTTTCTTTATAAAGATTGGATAAATCCAAATCATGCAATTCATTAATCATAATCATCCTAATATATAATACAGTAGGTAAAACAGATCCCTTTTCCAGCTTGAATTTCATGGGAAATTGAGGAATCCAAATTTCAAAATGTAAAATTTTACTACATCTAACTATAATTAAAACTTACTGAAAAAAGGTGGGAGGTTTCAAAACTCTTTTTTAAAAGTCGATGGGATTGTTTTAGAGATTTCTATCGAAACATCAAGACCCAGTATAGTTCCTATGGGACAATAGTAGGCCCTGTGTTATAAATAATAAAAATTTACCATTTTTTAGATAAGTCCTAATTCATCCCGAAAACATTTAAGTTAACTATGGGACAATTTTAAGTTTACCACAAACAATTCTAGCTTTTTCAAAATTAAAATATTGCTATTTCAGTCTTGCACGAAATAAAAATCTATTGAAAAGGTAAATCAAAGAGAATAGCTCTATCATTCTTTGGGCACTTCAAGTAACATAAACTGGCAGTCAAAACAAAAAAACCGGCACACATTAAATTTTACTTAAATACTACAGATTAAAGAAATATTTTTGAACCTGAAGTAATAACAGATATATGATACATCAAAGAGGTTAACCATGCACCATTCCTTCTGAGAAAATTTCATAGTTATCTCAAGAATTAACGATAAAAGTATTAAGTAAAACATACTTTCATATTAGTTTGTCTCCAGTTGACTGTTCAATCGCATTGGCTTGTTTTTATGATTTCTTTTTTTAAACAATATTTCATTTGTATAGAACCTTTTTAAGAGTGTAAAATGGTTTCGGATACCATGACTTATATAACTGCGTAGATTGAGAACAGCCAGTCAGTGATCCGCAGACTGACTCTATGGGCTACCTGAAAACAACGGTTCGGCGGGCAGTCCAGAGTTACCAGGAGACAGGAAGTCATATTAGGAGGCTGTGGTCAGGCCATCCAAAAGCGACAGGTACAACAATAACCGCAGATCCTTGGAAACTGCTTCAAGACTTCTGTTGAAACTTCTCATCGATTGCATATTGCTCAGTGTGAGGATGTCATCGCACAGTAAGGGGAAGGCTTGCTCGACCTGCATGCTAGGTTACCTGTTTCCGGCTCTATGCACAGCAGCACACTGAGCAACTTGCCTACACGCTGCCTGGACAATGATTTGGCCTCAGTTCTGTTTTCCGAGTCCAAGTATTGTCTTCATGGTGCTGACGGACGAGTTAAAGTGTGGAGAAGACCAGGTAAGTAATAAGCTTAGTGCAATACAGGGGGAAGAGTGCAGTTCGGAGAAGGGTCGGTGATGGATTATGTTTAGAGTCAAGGACAGACCTCCATGTGTTCCAAAGGCAGACGCTTAATGGAAGCACACACGTACATCACCGGTATCATCGAGGAATATGTGGTACCTCTTGGCCCGTTTATCGTCCTCCACTTCCTCCATTTCCATGGGTAAACAACCTTATTAGCAGTGTGCCTGAAGTACAGGCCGTGCAGAAAGCCTGAGAGTACCATTATTCAAGCAAGGGGAGGCAACACTAATTACTAGAAACTGAGATTATAATTAAAAGTACATCACAAGACTTTCACTTACCACCCCCTTCTTAGCAGAAATAAGTATTTCCAGACAAAGGGAAAGTGAAAGTAAAAATTATTGACGCTATATTTATTTACAATTCATTGTGGCTATTTTAATTTGTTTAAATACCCTTATGTATATATATATATAAATTTTAATTTTTATATCACTGCATACTATACAATTAAATATTAAATAATAGCAACAATAGCATTGATAAAAACCGCATATGTATATGAACATAATATTTCAGAGTCCGTATTATATGAAGCTCATGTTACGTATGGAAGCCTGTTGTAATCTTTCGGGCAAACTCCTATTCCTTTGATTGATCTATTACAACTATTATCCGTTACAATCTCTTATTTCTTCTTTAGTTAATTATCAAATTCTTTCATGTTTTATATCTAACTATTTTTTATATCAAAGATTAATGTGAAATGGTTAATTATTTCAAATTAAAAAAAATAAAGGTATTTTAGAGGAAGCCGATATAGAAAATTAGCCATTTAAGCCCTTATATAGAATACCAATGAGAATAAAACACACATTATATTAAAAATTGCTTAATAATATACTGATATACTGAGTTAGAGCCATTTTTGAGAAAATTGTAAAAACGTGTTAAATCAATTAAAATAAAGTGGCACTTCCGGTTTGCCGAAAATGTTGTAGTAACATCGAACGCTTATAAAAACCTTAAATATGCAATTTCACTTTCATACGACTTTTCCTCTTTGAGCTAGACTGATAACACACACATACACAGACCATTTTGTAGGACTTAGTTATTTGGACTCAGGAGACCTCAAAAGACTTATTTCCATTGAAAACTCATTGAAGACTCTCAAATTTTCACGAATCCAATACTTACCCTTACTATATATTGCATATATAGGTAAGTGAAAGTAAAAAAGAATTAAGATGCATTTTATTTTTGTTTATTGGCTTTATTTTAAATGACGGAATTTTAAAATGAATTTTTCTTGTTTTTTCCCTTTATTTATTTTCTCCCACAAACAGAATATATCACACTATATTGAGGGAAAAGAAATAACACAATTTAAGATGTGGTGTTTTTTATGTCTGCCAGTGTAGAAAGAAAATTATTGATATTTTTAATAAAAAAAAATGCAGATATGGTTCTATAATCTTGGTAATAGACTTCGATACTCTTAAGTAAGTGAGAGAATTAACTACAAATGCTTTTCCATACACAGAGCCAAATACACAGGTCATGAGCGAGTACAATAATGGAATAGTATAGCTTCAGTGACAGCAGCGTCTTAATACTTAACTATTAAACAAGAGGGATGTTTTCCAATGGCATAAGCTAATCATTTATTAAATAAATTGTTGCTTTAAGAGTCGTGGTAAAGTATGAAGCTTCACCAATCATTTGGTGTTAGGGGCAGGGTGGCTGAGTTGGCGAACCATATGGTGTGCACAGGGCGTTGCCGAATAATCTGATTATTGCTAAATTATAGATAATAAAATACCTATGAGTTCGCGTCCCGGTGGTGGTGGAGGTTTTAAACTTTGGTATTGATCCCTGCCCCCATCCCCCTGGCCTGGGAATACCCCGGTACAGCCTAAAAGACGAGGTAAGGAAAGAGCAAAAAAAAAAAATCATTCGGTATTGAATAGATTATCAAGATAATTTAGTATTGTATATACAAATAAACATGCAATGTTGAATATTTGAGAGAAAAATTATCTACTGTAAGAATCTTCATCAGAATCTACTAGTTACAATTATTAGAGGACCGGAAAGTAAGGTTGTTTCTGAGCATGTCACTATTTGATTGTCATTTGGGAGTTCATTGTGTACATTCTGAGATTATAGTGACTTCTTCAGTTGCAAATAATTAAATTAATTTTTTTTCTTTTTTTGCAATTATTGGTGAAATGGCCAACTAAGTACCAGAAGAGGTACACATGCAGTATTGGATGCTTTTTGAGTTTCGCAAGGGTAATAACGCAACAGTTGCTACCAAAAACCTTTGTGATGTTATGTTTATCCAAATGCATTAGATGTTTGTAAATGTCAAAGGTGGTTTATCAAGTTCAAATCCGATAATTTTGATCTTTCCGACTTGTATCGATCAGGAAAGCCAACAGCGTTAGAAATTGATGTATTAAGGGCAGAAGTCGAAGCAAATCCGTGCCAGACAATTAAAGAATTGTCATACAGTCTTAACCAACCTAGGTCTTCCATCCAAGAACATTTACAACAGATTGGGAAACCTACCATATGCAACTAATTGTTTCAATGGCACAATACAGAAGTGTTTTTTGATAGCTTGATCACCGCAGATAAAAATGGGCCTGTATGATAATCCAACGGGCAGTGGGTCTCCAAAATGCAAAGGGCAGTGGGGCGCTCCAAAATAATTGCCATGAAGTACTGCTAAGCCAGATTAACACCCCAAAAAGGCTTTTTTATGTGTTTGGTGGAGTAGTCCCAGCGTTGCTCATTTTGAAGTGCTGAAACCTGGACAAACTGTGTATACAGACTTTTACTGTCTTATTCGATGATTAAAAATGAAAACTCGTTAAAAATTTATGTGTTTGAATTCAATGTAAGAAAACAACATTACTTTCCCCCTAATATTTTGTAGAATTAAAGAAATATCAATGACAATCTCCTATGATATTAAATTTCAACACCACTTCATCAATATTATCAAACGGTTTCTAATCCCTTCCACAACTTTCAAAAGTTTTAGTAAGCAAATTTTGAATGTTTCTGACAAATAATTAAAAATTAGAAAGCATTAGTTCTCTCGCTTTTTTTGTTTACTCCAAATATGTTAACATTTGTGCCAAATTAACAAAATTTATGGAAAGTTTTACTTTTCTGCTTTAACTTGAAAAATTAGAGTGCTACCATTGGGTAGTTACTCAGCAAGTGTTTTTCATGTCATTATATACATTATGTTCTAATTTACTAGATGTATTTATTTAATACTGTTGTAAATTTCTTTAAAAATAAAAAAAAAATTGAAAAATGCAGCTGAAGGTTCTCTATACTAAGATTGCTCAGTGTAAGGGTTATATGGGGAGCATGCTCCACAATTTTTTGTAAGGTAATTAATTGTTTTAAATATGTTACATCGTCTATAATATTTACTTTCAATTCTCAACATATGAAAATACCTACTTCTACTTAAAGTAGAGTGGTAAGTATAAGTTGTGTGATGTACGCACGCACCAGATTTTTTTTTTCTATTTCAAGTTTCAATTTAAAACTAGGTTTTTTAAATTATAACAAAAAAATTTAACTAAAACGAGTCCAAATGGGGTCAAAATGATTCATAAGGATGAAATATTTAAATGTAATTTCAATTAATTTCATATTTTACTCATTTTGAAGAATATTTTAGTCAAATTTCAATATAATTTGATTTAGAATAAAATTTGAAATGAAAAAAAAATGCATTAGTGTCTATGTATAAAATGCCACTCTTTGCTATCAACATGCAGGTCTGGAGGATAGGTTGGATCCTTGGAATCCCTTAATCCTCTGGATACGATGCCTTAGCAGAAAAATTATAATTTATAAGCAAGGAACAAAAATTTAGGAAGGTAGTGTCAGTGTAGTTATATATTTTAAAAACATAGCTTTTCCATTCTTGGATTGATAGTGCTAAAAAAGAATCACACAAATAGTTTAAAGCGGTGTTATTCTATTATTTTCTTACTAATAAGTAGTATTCCGAATTTGGATTGTGGTAGCTATGTAGTGAGAAGTCTACAAAATTAAAAACTCTGACTAGAGCTATGGAAAACATTGAAATTAATTAATTATTGAAGCACTGTTTAATCAACCAGTTAAAAGGATACAATTTATCCTTTATTGTAAAAAAAATATTGCATTGTGAATCTTACAATTACTAAAACAATTTTTACAACTAAATAAAAAATAAAAATAAAACGGCAAAAGGAGTTTTAAAATATCAGACCTTCAAAATTAGTTATCAGAGGAGCCTGTTATAAGATAATAAGAATAGTATAAAAATGTAAAAATATTACAATATATTTATAATCATTGGATATCTTAAAGTAAGAAACAATTCCTTTGGCTTTCTTAAATTTTTTTTTAGCGTGAAGTTAAATTTTCAATATGAAGGGACAGGAAATTTCAACTAAACTTATAAACAATGTTTTTTATGTTTGTTTTTTTTTTACTTCAATTGAAATAACATAGTTAATACATAATATGGCAAATAATAAAATAAACATCTTTTCTGTTTATTTAAACAGATTAATTGTTAGTTTCTATCAATTTTTTTTTTTTTATCTTATTCATATATGAATCTATCAAAACAATCCTACAGAAAACAAAAATATACAATTGAACAATGTATTTTCATATTCGAAATCATAACTCAACTGAAATCAGCGATACAACAGTTCAGCTAAAATTTCTTAATTAGAATTATAATTGTTATTCTTCAAGTCTGCGACTTATCGCTGGTTTATAAAACCCCGATAGACTACTTATTAAACCAGAAAATCAAGTATTAGCAATACCTTTAGCTATCCTTAATGGTAAAAAATTCATTTTTAGAAACATATCACAATATAAAAACCTATTTCAATATTATATCATTTGTTAATTATAAATATATCACAATTATAACTTAAAATATCTATATATTAGTTAATAAAAAATATATGTACACATTACATATTAATTGGGCATGCGTCAGCCTTTGTAAATAGAATTGTAGTATTCCTCTTCCAAATCGTAAAGATCCGCAGCCATGTCGTCCCTCAGGTTCATCAGTTTTTGATCGCACTCCGCCTGTTTGGTCCTCATTAATTTGGAATTCTGAGCGATAGCTTCATTGACCGAAGGGAAGTCATTAAGGATTAGGTACTGCTTGATATCAGATACAAGTTTCATGAGCGATTCACCAGCTCGAACCATATTAGCTGCCCTTACGTGCATTTCATAAGTGTCCTGCTCACACTGAGTAAAGCGGTTTAGTTGAGTCTCATTTTCTCCTTTCGCCAACTTGACTATTTCTGAAAAATCAAGCAAAAAATTTTAACTAAAATATCACTTAATTTTCTTTTTTTTACAAATAAAATACAACTATTGAAAGAAGTATATCGTCGGCACCAAGTTCAAGTAAAGAATGTTAAACAAGCCAATATTGCATATTCGTTACTCTAACATGGTGCCGACGATATGACTGTTCTACATATCAAGGGCGTTAGATAGACAGGATGCAGTCAATTATTAAGATTTTTATTTGCCGACGTTTCAACCCAAGCATGTGGGTCATCAACAAAGTATGTTATTGAGTACTTGAACACCTTCAATGTTGGTAACATGCCCAGATGATGACCCAAATACTTGGGTTGAAATGTCAGCAAATAAAATTCTTAAAAAACTGACTACATCCTGATTGCTTAACACCCATTTGAAAATAGAACTAAATATAAAAAAAAAAAAATGAATTGATCATCGGATATTTCCTAATATTATAAATTCTGAATTGAGCTGTTATGAAAAAAACTACTTTTAAAAATTTCTGAAGTGAGGACAGCAAGGTTTAAAACCATTGGATAATTTTATAGAAATTTGTCAAACTTCTTTCTGATGATCCACATGTTTGGGTTGAAACGTTGGAAAAAATAAAAAAATTTAAAAAAGACCGTCCTGAATATTTATCACCCATGATATGTAGAACAGTCGACTAACTTCCTTCAAGAATTCATCAAAAAATGTGTTTAATTAGTTCTAATTGCCCTTTTGAAAGATGTTTGAGTAATGGATGGACGTTGCCAATGGATATAACAGAAATGTCATCTCTGCACATCAGTAATAAATGATAAAATACTTTTTACAGTGATACATTTGTCTATTGGACAGAATACATTTATCACATTAGTCTTTGATTGTAATTTATCGAACATTTCAAGGAAAACTACGCCCCCTCTTCAGCAATCTAATATAATACAATAGTTGGTTGGGGTATTCAGTCAAAAAAATAAAAAGTAAATATAAATAATTAGTATTTTTACTTCTATTCGTTTGACTTAACGCCTCAAACAACTTCTCTTCAATTTTCACTACAGGTAACCATCAATCCACTGATATAATCTAAAGTTTAGTTCAAACTCTTATTTATATTAACTAATAAGAAAGTGATGTATTTGTCGGAAAGCAAAAGTTATAAGAACAAATATTATGCCTCCTTAAATCACAAGTAATTTTGAATGTGGTCAATCGGTCACCATTGAGATATGACAATTGTAAACTAACACCAAACTATTAGTTAACATTCTGGGAAAACAGCAAAAAATAAGTTGATTTATAGTCATCAGATTTTAGTGCATAATAGGTCTAGGTGCATTATGCCACACACAAAAAAAAAATTGCTCTTTCTTATTGTGGTGAAATTAGCCATTCGATTGTGAGAGCTTCTATCGTTAACATAGTTTTCAACATATTCTTAACTATGTCAATAAGGACAACTAGATCAAAATCACCGAATTTTAAAATTGGAACATGTCTTGAAATATCCATGTTTGGCTCATGTTATAAGTTTTATTCTATTCATTCAGAGCAACAATGTGGGTTGGTTAATTAAAATAAATTTTCACAACTACTAATTATGCCAAAACCTGGATTATGTTGTCTAGATGAGCTAGTGTGAATCAATAATAATGCACACATTAGCAAACTTATGAATACAACTTGTAATAATTAAAGTGTCATTTAGTACATTATAAAACAATAAATGTACTCTAGTGGTAATACTATTGAGATTTTTGTAGCACAACGTATTACCTTCAAAATTTTCAAGCATGGACTTGACATCATCTTTCAGTCGACTAGTGTAGGACTTGAGTAAAGCTTCTTTGCTTTGGGGGAGAGCTCTCTGATGAGCCATTTTTACAGAATGGAGATATTAAATCATAAACTAAAACGATTAAAATGAAATTTAACGTTAACGTCGGCAGAATACACGGTAACCTAAAACAATGTATAACCTCTTTGTTTACTTCCAGTGTTGACTCATATTGACAATCAGCAAAGTTGTTGTGATAAATAATGATTGGTATTATAGGTATGAGGAAGGATAGTAACTAGCTATTTTTTCCTGGTCATTATTTACTAACTTGATTTAGGTGAGGAGATTTCTCATCCAACTTCTTTTAAGTCTCCTCCTGATGGACATGTCATTCGTGGCCATGCCGTTTATAAGTTTATAAGCAAGATTAAATCGAAGTTTAGTTTAGTTTCATAGTTTTAGATAAAGTTTGATTTGCCAAATAGGACTTGCTCTGACAAGTCTCAATGGCAAAAAATAAATAAATAAAATAAAGAGTCAAAGATTCGTTTAAAAAAAGATTTTCAAAAATTAAAATAAAAAGTATTTACATGTTTGTTCGAAAGTTATTTTGTAAAATAAGTATAATATACATAGCGCCACTTTTAGTGCAATAGGTCGTATGTAAAAAATGAGTGTTTTACAGGAGAGCATTAAATTAAACTGATTACTTCTTCATGATTTATTAGTATAATTTTATATTTTATTTCTTTTAGCTATTTTCCATAGTAGCAGACTACTTACAGCAGCTGCAGACTAAAAATGTCATCTTTAGCACAAACAGAATAAAAATGGAAAATTGTTACATACGAACTTCGCTCTAACAGTAGCGATAGTATTATAATCACAAGAAAAGTAACTTATAAAAGCAAATACATTTCTCTTTATTTTATTGAGATGATATTTTCCAATATACTATATATTTATTATATGTTTCAATTCTGCTTCTCCCTTTAACTCCTTTGTGCCCTCAAGCATGGAGTTTCAATATCAGTCCATCTAGCGCACTGGTCCCTGTCCCTAGCTAGTCTTCTTTTCTCCAGGATGGTGAGTCCTCTTGCTGCCCCCAGTTTTCATAACATACAATGTAATCCGGGTACATGCACTTGGATCTGCGACGAGGGCGTCTAAATCAGAAATGAAACTAAAAGAGTGGTCAAACCAGCAAAGACAAGGACTTAGGAGGAGTTTGGTCAAGAGCTGAAACAGAACTATTGGGAGAATACCAGGACGTTCTGGCATACTGTGAAAGCCTTGTAGGGTAAGAGGTCAAAGACATGAAAGATTTGCATGGCAAGTTGGTTACCGAAGAAAAGGAAGTGCTAGAGGAAGACAGGAAAAATTTATCATAGAAGAACGTATTCACCATAATTACAAGGACTGCAGAAGGAGAGGTAGAGTGGTTGAGTCTTATTCTGAGGATACGGAGGAAGCTATTGGGGAAGACGAGGAGGAGTTAGCAGTCGACAAAATCCAGCTAGGAAAAGCTCGAGGACCGAATGGCATAACTCCGGAATTTATTAAATATTGAGGCAATGAAAGGATTAAAAACTATTATAGGGATGGATAACCCAGTCACCGAACTGTTTTTTATACGAAATCTACCTTCGAATTCACATGTTCTTCATGTGAAATAAATAGATTTTGCTTTTGGCATCGTTGCTATCGATTGTTTAAACTTTTAGTTGTTTTTAACATCAAGAAAAAAATAATTAAAAAAAAAAGATTTTATTTTACTTTTTAAAATTCCACCAGAATACCCATCCTCTTACCGCCCTTTCTATCTTTTACCCATCATGGAAAAAATCCTGGAAAAGCTCATCTTAAAAAGCCTGTATCCCATCCTATATTCTAACCACATAATTCCTGATTACCAATATGGATTTCACACATAACATTCCACTATCCAGCTTTGCCATCGTGTGGTAGACATTGTCTCCTCTGCATTAGAACGCGGAATGTACGGCACGGGAGTCTTTTTCGACGTTGAACAGGAGTTTGATCGAGTCTGGCAGCCGGGATTGCTTTACAAACTCCGTAAATTCCTCTCCCCTACATACTTTCTCATGACCAGTTCCTACCTTACCGATAGACACTTCAAAATAAATTACAATAATGTCTATGCATCCCTCTTTTCTCAATCTGCTGGTGTTCCTCAAGATAGTATCCTTGGTCCTATCCTTAACACAGTTTATACAGCTGATATCCCAACCCATCCTACCACTATCATCACCGCGTATGCCGATGACACATGTATCCTTTCAGCTAATATAGATCCATCAATAGGATCCCGAACTCTTCAATCAAACATCTTAAACCTTGAAGAATGTTGTAAAAACTGGAGGATTAAAATAAACCCTATCAAATCACCGTTACCCTTCTTCGTAAACCTATGACTTCCTGTCCTACAGTATCCTTTTATAATACCCTACTAATTCCTGTTGAATAAATCCTATACTTCACCTGGACAAACGTCCCACTTGGAATCCTCATACGAGACTGAAACGACAAGAAACTACTCGACGTTTCTGCTTACTCCAACACTTACTAGACAAACGCTCTAAACTTCCAATTAATTACAAAAGACATGCATCGTATGCATGACTATAATAAGATCTATTTGGACTTACGGAGTTGAGCTATGGGGCTTCATTGAACCATCGAATTTCTCTCGTATCCAATCTCTACAATCCAAAATCCTTCGTAAAATCCTCAATGATCCTTACTTTGTCACAAATAAAATAATTCATAAAGACCTTAATGTTCCATATGTTTTAGATTTGGCTAAAAACAGATACCTATCCTTCCATAATAAGCTTCATAATCATCCGAATCCTCTTGTTTCTATTCTTGGTTCCTCTTCGATTCCTGATAATCCTCTGAGGTGTCTGAAAAGAAGATGGCCGCGTGATCTCCTTATGTAGACATATCATTAGAGTGCTATCAGTGGGTAGTTTCCAACACGCGTTTTCAGGTGATTATATTTCTGTGTTTACATTTACTTGATGTATTTATTTTAATACAGTTGTAAATATCATACAAAAATATAAATAAAAAAAAACATTTTACTTTTTAATAAAAATACACATCACATAGATCCATAAAATAACAATTGATCAGCAATGATCACAAAATGTTAATCCCTCGAAACTAGTTTGATTAAAATATCTTTCTTGGGCATTGTAATATCCATAATGGGCATGAGCTCTGCGGTTTTTGGAGTTTTTTCACACGGCACCACTTTGAAGTTCCTTATCACAGTCATTATTCCCATTTTGGTCTGCATTAATCCAAATCTGTTCCCTGCAAATATGTTAAAAAATGATTAGAACAAGGTAATTCAAAATTATTTTAGCTTTACGATCCTTTAAGTAACTGCAATGTGAAAGATATTCCTTACCAATGCATATCCTAGGACCTTCTCCAAAGGGCATGTATGTATAGGGCTTGATGGATCCAATGTTCTCTGGACTGAACCTTTCAGGGTCGAATTTCTCTGGATCGGGATAGTGCTGCGGGTCTCGGTGGATCGAAAACAACGGAATGAAGACATGGTCTCCTCTTTCGATGCGGTCTCCTGATGGCATGGTGAATGGAGTCGTGCACACTCTTCTCAGTATAGGTACAGTGGGGTATTTCCTCATTGTTTCTTTAAAAAGAGAAAATCGGAAATAATTATGTTAGATTAATAAATATTGTATTTAAAATAAAAGGGCTAAGACAAAGAGACATAAATTAATTGTTGGGAATTACACATAGGAAGAAAAATCCATGCACGTCTAAAGCCTTGAAATCCTAAAATGCAAAAACAAACTAATCCGTAAACATTCAGGTACCATCAATGCAGAAACACATGTGGTTGGCTCTGGAAATTAATACAGATTTATGGTTTTAAAATAAAATAAATAATACGGAACTGTTTTTATTAATCTAAATTCGCTCTAATACTCTAGATATATTTCTGCTAACGTGTTTATTAACTTTCCCATTCCATCTGAATAGAATGTTAAACCATTATTATTAACAGACTTTGAAAATTCATTTTCTAACTTTTTAATAAGTGACCGATACGTCAAGGAAAAAACAACAATGAGTTTATGAGTTTTGGCTTTGGAAAATGTTGTTTTACAGATCATACTTTGTCAAGCCACTGTCCAAAATGTTTATCGTTGTCGTAGAGAATCCACTTGTCATGTAAGAATTCTGAATAGAAAAGGTTCGTTTCTTTTACGTCAAAGAAGCACAGCGCATCAAGCAACATGAAAGTTTGTTTGCCGGTCGTTCAAAGCATGAGATACCCAAAAAAAGTGTTTTGTCGCAATTGTGATGAGGTGGTCAGTGATGGTCGATTTGCTGAATGTTTCTCTGCAAGTTCTCGATAAGTCGTTCTGTAACCAATGTTCGCAGATCATTGTCATCGAGGGAAAAAGTCATTCTTCAGCCATCTTTGTCTATAACGCAGAATTTTTTTTAAACTATTGTTGAACGATGTACCCACTCACTCTACCATCGTCGTAGACTTCATTAATGTTTTAGGTCGTTTAAGCCCCGTTTCGACCGAGTTTGACTCGTAAAACGAAAGTCGTGACTCGTGATTTTTATGGCTCTTTGAGATCTTCCTTAAATGATACAGAAGATTAATAAGTGTTGAAACCCACCCATATAAAGGAATGATTCCTCACACGTAAACAGTTTAAATAATTATAGGGTTAATACACGCATGTGGGCCATTTTGCAAAAGCTTGTATTGTTTGAACTCTTTGGAAACTTTTTTTACTATCTTTTTATAATCACAATACTTTCGCTTCTTATATATTTCATATACTGATAAGTGAAATCAATACATACCAGAAATCACCATATGAAGGTAATCCATCTCTTGTATTGCCTGGTATGAAACTTCACCATGCTTTTCCAATACCCTGTCGATCTCTTCCCTCAACCTCTGTTGAAGGTCTTGCCGAAGAGCTAGTTCATACAGACACCAATTTTGCACTGAGCTGGAGGTCTCCATACCAGCAAATAGGAATACAAATGTCTGTGCTGCCAATAAGTCGATGTTGATATCTAAAATAATTGATAAAAAAATAATTAAAACAACTCATTTAAATCAATGGTAAATTCTGTTAGAGCTGATATAACGTTTTTATATAATATTGACTATACCGAGAGGTTCAGTAATTTCTTCCTTCATACCATCTCCAATCGTCCCTTTGTTCTTCAGCTGAATAAGTAAGTCCATGAAGTCGTTCCTTTTAATGTCGTTCTTCTCTCTGTATTCGATAGTATCAGTAACAAGTTTAATCAGGAACTCTTCTACCTCTATGGGGACTCTCCTACAAAAGGATAATATATCATAGAGTATCTTTAGAAACTGACAATTACCTTAATAAAAAATGTAGTAACCCTACCTCCCGAACGACGAAAGCCATTGAAATGCTCCCTCGCCAGCGATTATAAGCTTGTTTAATAAATTTGTTTTTTGAAAAAAGGTAAATAATTTCCTGATAGCGTGATCGGGATTATTAATAGTGTTTGGTTCCAAACCAAAGGCGCAGCTAGAAATAGTGTCTGTCGTGTATCCGGTGGTGTACAGTTTCATGTTGAGTTCCGAGCCAACCATAGACTTGAGACAGTTTTCAAGAGCCTGAGAAAATAAAGAGAAATTAATTAAAATTCGGAAAAAAGCAAAATTTCTATGAACTAAAAATACATAAATAAAAGCGCATGTATAATATGGTAGTGAAGAACCCTTCCTCGACTCTCAGAAACGATGAATTTTGATTAATGAAATTTCATACGAAAGGGATTTTCATGGGAAAGTGACGAATCTCAATTTCGATCCTTAAATTCCTTTAACAATTTTAATAAAATTAATTGGAAAACATTAGAAGGTTGAAAAACTTGGATGATTTTAATAGTCGACGAATTGAGACAGCATAATTTCGTTTGAAGATTTTGATGCGGGTATCAAAACCTTATTTTCTTAAAATAAGTTTGGAGCAAGATGGAGTACTGCGTTTCCGAGCCGAAAATGTCACATTTTCTAGATAAATCTCAATTCTTGCCGAGAGTCTTATAAGGGCCAGTTGTTCCAACTCAGTAAAGCTTAGATTAAGCGTTATCTAAGATTAAACCAAGTTTTCTAAGGTCAAACGATTAAGATTAAACTTGGTTTAATCTTAGATAACGTTTAATCTAGGCTTTACTGAATTAGAGCAACTGGCCCTAAATGATATGGTTGCCATGGGATACTTATCACATGTTTTGGTTTAAAAAAATTAAAATATTGCTAATTATGATAGTCTTCGACGAAATAAAAATCAATTGAGGTAATTTAAGGTAAATGGAGAAGAATATCTGCATGAAACCATGAGGAAATAGAATTAAAAAATAGATTTTTAAAAAAATATTTTTAATTAATAAAAATATATTAATGTATGGCCTTTATATTCTCAATAATCTCTTTCCAGTTATGTGCACGCAGCTCTTTGGCATCTTTATTGATTTTATCAATCCATCTGTATTTTGGCCTTCCTGTGGTCTTTTGCCATCGATTGAGGTATTCATTGTTACGTAGCGGCTTTAAGATGGGTTGTTACTTTATCCGTGCCTTTATATCATAGGATACTGATTAACCCGTTTCTGAAAGCAGTTCTCTATTGGTCTTTCTTCTCCATGTATTAGTACTCTGGTCCCAGTTCGCTTCGGTTATCGTGCGGAGGATTTTACTCTCAAATCTATTAATACTCTTATTGGGATTTATTGAGGATGTGATTGCCGAGCACGTTGGGATCTTGGTTCCATAGAGCTCAATTCTGAACGTTGTGGATTCGATTCCCATCTGGGCCAGTTAATATTTATTTCTCGGCGGTCTCGAGAAATGACTCTTGACAACTACCATTCTCTAGGTGGCCGTCAAGTCGTCTGGCTCTCCCACCAGCACCAGTACAGTTATACATTTATTTCTCAAAGTAAACGATATCTGAGTAATTGAATATGGTACTATTTGGAACATAGATACATGGGAATGAAGGAGGCAACTGTATTTCTGTATTTCTGCTCTTTTTTTTCTTAGTTGGATTTGTGTAATGAACAATAATTTTCGGTATCGATAACATTTTTAAGGTCAACCAAAAGGAATTTCAATAGCAATCAGCATAAAAATTGTAACACCAAATATGTTATAGGATTAATTGTTAGTATGACAAAACTATTCGTAGTCTTCCCAATTCATCAAACCAAAGATTTCATTACCATAAAGCTAGATCTTCTCGATAAAACGTGTACCATATTGCAAAAAAAAAAAAAAAACGCGTTTGAATAGGTTCTGTAGTTTTACCCATAAGCGGTTACAAGAGAAAAACGTACTGTGCTTTTTATATAATAGTATGATCATCACAGATGATATTACATTAACACGAAGATGTGTTGTCGAAAAGGAAAGAATGAAATAAAAAATACACAAGAAATTTTTTCATCATAACAATCTCACGTTAATTCATTCTAGACCGCGTGATAAAAACGTTTGTTGTCTCTTATTGCTCGAGATATGTATGTACTGTTTTTATTAAAAATTAGATAAACAATTTTTATCTCTGAGCTCTGTTGATAAGGACTACTTTGGACATTTCTTTATCTTTTAAAATTTGGTGAGAGTTTTTTAATTAGTAATATCAAAAAGTAAATAATATTTGTAGACCGAGAGACCTTGCTAATAAACATGATATATATTTTAAATAAAGTTTGTCTTATTCCGAACCGAAGTTTATAGTATTAGTATTTGATTCATTTTTGCTGGAAAGCACCGTTTTGTTATAAAAAAATAAGTCGGAAAATTTGTCTATGTATTCGATCTTCATACTCGTAAGTCTTATTAAATGTTGCTGATGGTTACTAAACCTGTATTTTACATATATTATTTACATATACCTGTATAAATAAATAGATAAACGACAAAAGACATCTTTTTTTAAAAAAATTTTTTTATTTTATTATTTTATTTTTGGATCCTCCCCTTCCTCCGGTCCAGAGGGTGTGGGCGGGGATTTAAAAGACTACCCCGGTATCGGGACGCGAACTCGTTACTATTTTAAATCCATTGCATCATAGATCAGGTTGCCAGGCAACAGCGGTGCTATGCACACATTTGGCCACCTTGCCCCCCAAAAAATTGGTAAGGTGTTACCCACGGCCAATGCCTGTGTTTGTATATTCCATCCTTGTCAAGGGGAGTGCTAAACTTCTCTCATTTTTTACCACACACAAAAGATATCCTGAATTCACAGCCAATTGCTATATAACTGATTGTGGATGATCCTCAGGGAGTCCAGAATAATATTCTCGGCCAATATCGCAAGCTCCCCAACATCAACACTTAGTTTCTCGAAGAAGCTACTTGTTCTTTTTGGAATCGTTCCGCGAGACCCAAACCAGAGGTCTCTCTTGGTGAATAGTCTCTCTCCGAAGGTCTCACGAAACTTCTTTTTTAGGATAGGGATGTATGGTATTCTTTTCCACTTCAGCTGTCTGATCGAGGTTATTGCTCTCTAAGTGAACAGTTGTATCTGAGCTTAGAGCTTTTCTGTCTTGGAAAATGCAACGCTGACCTATACGAAGCAAGCGAATTCCTTTTCATTAAGATAACAATCACCGATTTTCACTCACTCAAGCTTTTAGGAAACTCCCAAGATCTTGGTCAGCGGTCATTCAAGAAATAAGTTTAGAAGATTAACAAAAATCAATAACAGCTAATGATAGACGCTGCGCAGACAAACCCTTAAGCTACACGAACCTCGGAGCAGGCCAGCAGGAGCGGGAACATCCCCTTGAGCTTGCCGCTGGTGAAGGTGGGCGTCAGCTTGACCCGGAGCGCCCTCCACTGCTCCCCCGGCAGGTTGAACAGGTGCTGGCTCATCTTGTCCTGTTCCGGGCTGCAAATAACAATATTTTACGTTCATTAATGATCTACATGAAACAGTAATTAGAAGACTACACGACATATAAGTTGACTAGATATATAAGTTTGAAAGTAAACTAGAAAAAATATCAGAAGGAGTTGATGGGGAGGAGGTGCGGTCAAATTTGACCTAACCTCCCGATCAACTCCTTCTCATATTATATCAACGGTCAACCATCTCTACATCATTAGAGAAAATATCGATATAATGATTGATACATGTGGCACCTGTATGTGCACAGTGTGTTGAGTGCGAAAATTATATTTATAGAAAAACTCAAATGAAAATTTTGAATCTTTTGAAATTGGATTCAAGTTTAATTTTCTAGTTTCAACCCATTATTCACAAAAAAATGTTAGCCTCTGTAATAGCCCCATAACTTAGCGTATTAGACACACAGAAAGAGAGAAAAATTAGCTCTCTGGCGTAAAAATTCATAAAATTACACTTACCACAGTTTTCACAACTGCCACAGATATATTATCTAGCATTGATACTTTTTAATACGTTTAAGAAATAAATCAATATTAAATAACGTTTATTTTTTTTTTTCATAATTAAGGCAAAAAAACTTCCTATTTCCTTCAAATCCCTTTATTCACATCTATCACCTCTAACGTTTCGGGACAATTTTCACATCATCAGAACAATCCTTATATTCACTGAAATTTGCTTTTTTGATGTGGCAGCATTTGTCAAAAATTTAAATATTTGTCACGTTCATTATATCTTTATTTGGTGTTACACATCCTTTTTTTATTCATTGTTACACTAACCTACATCAGTACAGTAATGATATTGAAGTTAGCCAGAGGTAGATTAGTGCAACAATGAATAAAAAAAGGATGTGTAACACCAAATCAATATATAATGAACGTGACAAATATTTAAATTTTTGACGAATGGTGCCACGTCAAAAAAGCAAGTTTCAGTGAATATATAAGGATTGCTCTGATGATGGGAAAATAGTCCCGAAATGTTAGAGGCTACATCTGGCTAACTTCAATATCGTTACTGTACTGATGTGGGTTAGTGTAACAATAAATAAAAAAAGGATGTGTAACACCAAAATGGGACTGGAGTTTATAATGAAAGGATAAATATCTGGCTCGGGCTAAATCAGCGAGAAATGAAAAAAGAATTCACAACGAAATGTGATGGAATATATGAGATAAACACATAAATTTTAGACATAGAATAAATCGGGTGATGTAGTTGCTAAAATATGATGTCTTCGTCCGTGGTACAGACCTCTTTTTATCAAATTATTAACATCCGCCTGAAGTTTCGTAAATAACTTCATCTCATCGTAACGTACAAATATTTTATTTACGAAAAATCTCGGAATAGGGGCATTTTAAATCTGGAGATCGTGCAAACTTTGTATATTTAATTACTTAGTAAAAACTCGTAAATAACCTTTTGCTTTCTACCAGAATCGTAAGATAATGTTAGCACAATATCGAGAAAAAAGTTGGGCTTCAAAAATATTGATCCATTTGGATTGACTTACACCGCCAAATTGTCAAAATAACGAGGTCATAATGAAATAAATGGCCCAATATTTTCGTAGGCAACTTTTTATATTGATTTTTTGATCTAATTATCTTACGATCCAAGTGGACAGCATGTGGGTATTTAAGTGTTTTTATTTCCTAATTAAATAGACAAAGTTTGCTCCCCTCCAGATTTAAAACGCCCCAATTTCAAAAGTTTTCGTAAATAAAATAGTTGTAGGTTACGATGAGATGAAGCTATTTACGGAGTTTCAGACGGATGTTAATAATTAGATAAAAAGGGGTCTGGACCACGAACTATCTAGTATGCTTAAAGGAAGAGAGATTGGCATACAATAAAATGTTTTACAGAGAAAAGAGAATGTTATTTTTTAAATTTGGTTTTAAATCAGGACTATAGCCTAAGTTATTTTCTAAAATATGTTATATAAATCATCTCTGATTGAAATGCAGGTCATAGTCACTTACAACTTGTGAAAGAACCTGTCCCGGAAGTGGTTGAAGTCCTTCGTCATGACGAGCCGTATTATTTCCGGGTCTCTGATTACTAGCCAAGGAATCCTCACCATGTACATCCCGAAATATGGATACTTCGACATTTCATTATACATCTAGGGCATGGATAATTAATCATTAGAATGAAAAATAATTCCTTTTAAGTTAATATATTAAGATCTATTGATATTTTCATTTTTGTTACCAACTTACATCGTTTATGACTTCACCTGGAAACCTCTTTTCCATCTCGGACGAACTCCCGTGCGGGAATTTACCAGGCACCGATGGTATGCCCCTCTTTTCCCATGTCTGGTAAATGGAAATCCAATATTTGTAGAAGGCAAATATTGATACAATAACTAGGGAGATTATTAATGGCAACATTCTTGGTAATCTGCAAGTATAATAGGAAATTATAATTGTGAAATAATAGTTATGCTTATTTCAATTGTCTAATGAATTTTATCTTCTTTTTGTTTATTCAATGTTACAAGGATGTTTTACTGACAGAACATTATTTAAAATTTTTAATGCAACAGTTATAAAATAGATTAAGGGACTGCATATTGCTCATTTACAACAAAGTTAAAATAAATAAATTGAAGTATTTTACTTTAGCTGCGACAGATCTTTCATTTATTCGATCCACATCCCTATGGAATGGTATCCCTTCCTACATCCGTCGCTCCAATACCTTCTCCCCCTTTAAATCCCGCCTGTTCAATCACCTCTTATCCGTTCAGTTCTCATAAAATTGTGAATAGATGTTGTAAATATGTATATAAATAATTTGTTTGTTTTAAATACTTTTATTTAATTTTTTCCCCTTAATCGAAGTTTGAAAGTAAATAATATTCTTTTCTTTCATTTATTTATTATATAAATCTGTTTAATTTGTGATTATTCTCTGAGGCTCCAAAGCCCACATTTTTATCTCTGTATATTATTCTAAAGAGGCTTGCCCCAGAATAAATAAAGCATTGTTATTATTATTATTTTAAACACAAAATAGGATAATCTGCCCAGATCAGATGTCTCGGGTTGTATATTTGCAAGCAATCTGTTCTGTTCAAAACACTTTTCTTTACTTTTTATACCACGTTTGTATACTCACCTTGCTATTCGTACCATAGGCGTCGACTTTCGATTTTGATTGGGAAGGGGGGATGGTTTAAAAAAAAAAGAAAAGTAAAATGAAAAAAAATTATATACCTTGAAATATAGACATTGTTTATCTAATGAAAATGGTGAGGAAGCTGACCTTATTTAGTTGACACTTTTTTTTTAATTTTTTTTTTTTACAGATATGCCAACGTGACTTTCCAATTGAAAATAATGAGCATAAAAGAAAATTTAATTTGTTATAATATCTAATTTTTTTATAATTTGCAATCTAAAAAATATTTTCACGCTCCTAATACCTTAAAATTAAATAATCACGGTATTTCTAATCGATAATTTGTATTAAACATTATTTCTAAACACTTTTATTTAGAAAATAATGAAGTTGTGTTATTTGCACAGGCGGATTTACGAGGGGGGGGGAGGCTTTCGGGCTGAAGCCTCCCCCCAAAAAATGGTAAAATATAACCATGTTTTATAGGAAAAAATATTAAAAACTATCTCTTAAACTATTATTATTCGTGTAATTACATTTAATAGGACTTCAAGAACCACTAAAACACCATGTCATATGGTTAGTTAGTTTCTTTTTTTCAAATTAATTATCGTTATATATATAAAAAAAATCCTTCGGGCTGAAGCCCCCCACCCAAAAAAAAAATTAAATCCTGGATCCGCTTGTGGTTATTAGTAATAAAACCGAATAAAAAAGATCATATTAAGTTGTGTGAAATACATTTAGCTTATGAACATAATGTAAATGTTGAATGAGTGATAAGAAAAAAACTCACGCGCCTCGTCACATATTTTCCTAGTCAGTTTAAATTTTATCTAATTTAAAAACAACTGAATCGAAAAAAACAAAAAAAAAAATAGTGCGTCTAAATAACTAAAATATATCTTTTTGGTTACAATAGTAATAGGTATTTTCAAAGCATCTTGTAATTTTTTTTTATATTAATAGAAAATGAGTCTATGGGAGGGGGGGGAGGGGAATAATGGGTCTTGAATACTTCTGAGGTTAGCTGGACCAAGAATTAAAATAAAAACTCTATAAAGGAATATGCAACAATGCGGAAGAATAGTACAGGTAATGGATTATACAAACTTTATAACTTTTATTTAATTAAATGATCATATTTTATTCTGTTATAATAACTAATAAGACAGGTACATTAAATATAATTTAAGTAATAAATCGTCGGTTTATTACAAAAAAAATCATGAAGTGATATTTTAGATCCTCAAACCACTATTTTTCCATATATTTTTTTACAATATATATAGATTATAAATTACAATTTTTAAAACTATTTAGGCGTGGTTTAATTGGATTCACCACAAAAATTCTCTAATTTTAGAAATAAAATTACAATTACGTAAAATTGTAGCTGGTGATTGCAATTACTTTGGGTCAACTAGTAAATGAAATTGAGTATCACAGTTATAATTACAGGATATCACGAATTAATTGCTGTTACAATTACAATT